ACTAACAAGGAAAATGATTCATGAAAACTAAAAATAATAATCACCTAGAAATATTTTCATATATTTTGATGTAAAATACTCCATGAGTGACTGTTATTGATATATTTTAAATTTATATAAAAAAAAATTTTTCATTTTAAAGATATGAAAAATAATACAAATCAATTATTAATTTGGTTAAAAGCATTTAAAAATACTTGGTTATTAGAAAATATTCCAAATGATACTCATGCAGTTGATTTAATTAAAACTAAACTTCTTGAACTTGAACAATTAATAATCGGTAAAACTAAATTGTTCTTTCATTTAATAAAAACAAATTTTTATTTTCAATAGAAAATAATGATGATGAAGAAGAATATAATCGTGCAAAACTACTTAATGATGGTAGTTCAAGTAATAGTGATACTGAACAAATAGCTATTGCTTCAACATCAACACATGAAACATTACCTGAATGTTCATTAGCAATATCATCGAATATGCATTTTCAATTAGATAATGAAACTGAAGAAGAACAATCAAAACGAATTTTACTAGAACAAAGTGATAGTAGTCAAAACGAAAATGATAAATTGTCATCATCAGATGATGATGTTTTCTTATTACGACCAATTATTCGTTTAAAACGAATTTCACAAGCTGATGCTGAACGTTATATGCCATCAACATGGAAAAATAGTAAAAAAGAAATTTATTGATTTGTTCGAAATATTTCTTTTTATTTTGCAGTAAATTCAAAAAAACTATCTACTGGCAGTGATTCATCAATTAGTCAAGGACAACAGATACTCGAATCATCAAATAGTGATGATAGTAAGTGTTAAAATGTTCATGATTCATTTCATAAGAAAAGAAAACAAGTCATAGTTTGCAAGAATGAAATAATATCAAATGTAAAAAGTCAAACTTGGTTATGTAAAACAATCAGAAATGGTACTTGGGTCTATGCCGTTCTTCTCCGTCACTATGGATTTTAAATCACTTTTGAGTCGAGATTATGTGTATTATCTAGATTATAATGAGCTATGAATACCCTAGAAAGAATCGTTCATTACTATGAAAATACAACACTTTTGTGGTATGTATTAAATGAATGCTGTAGTAGCAAAAACATTCATTTTTGAATGTCACCTTGAAATTTTGAATAGAGACAAGACTAGTTTATTATGAAATTCTCAAATGTTTTCTGTATTTGAGGATAGGAACAGCGATAAATTCTGACATATTAACAAAAAATCTATGCCTATCTCTATGCAAAGTTTCAAGGTAAAATTCGAAAATCAATTGTTTTGATATTCCTAAGGTGAATCACAGCATTTAGTAAAAACAAGCTATTAGTGCAATCCTTGAAGGATTGATATGTGAAACACGATGTAATTAGAGTTGATTATTACAGAAAAACTCTTTTATTCTATCTATTTTGAGGCACATATCTTCGTCATTCTTTTATTTGATTCTTCAGAATGCAGAAACAAAAATACTTCAACATTCTTTTTTACATCATATTTCATAAAATATTGTCAATGTATACTATCGCCAGAGCAATAAGCTAAGAAATTGAACTCTTTTCACGATATTTATAGATCATTTGAGTATGCTATTTAATGTCGATTGTTGAACTGATTCTGAATATAATATTCATTTCTTTTGAAACTGAAGTTCACAATATGACAATATTAGAATACGAGTCTGTTTTATGGTGTTTTGCTTTCCGAAGTCTGCGTAGACTTTTCTGGCTATTTCAAATCTAGTTTTACTCAGTTTCACGACAACAAACTTCGTCTGATTATATCAAACACCTCATATTTATAGGAAACTCCACGAGCTATATCTAATTTTCAGTTACCGACATCTTACTTATAAAATCTTTTGTAACAGAAGGAACTATTTTATTTTAAATTTTTTTCTTTTATTAGTTCCAAGAAATTCAAATATTTTCGAAACATTAACACGATCCAATGACGAAAAGAAAGCCAAAGAAAAATTACTAGCATCTGATAATGATCAAGCTAGTATATCATCTACAACACATAAAAGTCACGAAACATCAACAACTAGTTCAACGTCTGAGGACGATGATGATGATTTTAGTATTAAAATTCGTACACGCAAGTCTTTATTAAAAAAAACTGAAAGATCACCAATTAAACTACGTAAAAGTACAACTCGTTCTCATAAAAAACATGATATTGTTATTAATTATAATCTATCGTCAACAGTACCAAATGAATCATCATTAGATGAAACACCATTAGAAGACCCACCATTAGAAGAACCATCATTAAAAGATTCATTAGCTATTGTTGAACAAATAAATCCAATGGAAGAAGATCAAATCTTAGAAGATGTTATAGAAAATAATGATAATGAATCAATATTGGCATCAAATGATATAAATCAAGATAAACCAATGGAAACTAATCATAATGATGATGATGTAGAAGAAGCATCGAACAATGATATTGATTCATCAACCACTCAAGATTCTCCTCATGATGGGTAAACATGTTCTTTCTTTTCTTTTTGAATATGATTGTTAGTATTTATTCTCTTGATGCTAAAAACGACTTTAAATGAAGTAAACTATATAGCTGCCTTTCCAATGACTTCTTTGTATTTATTGAAATAAGAAAATATTGATATTATATATAACTGTAATCATATGAAATATGTTTTTTATTTTAGACCACCAATTGAAGTTCCATCATATGCTCATTTGCTTACGCGTTCAAAATCATCATCAGATTCGGATGATGAAAATTTAAATGATAATGTTAAGAAAAAATCATCGGTTAAAGATAAAAATCAATTGAATAATGGCAAACGTTCGACACGATCATCATCTAATTCTGATGCATCAACAATTAAAAAGAAATCAAAACATACAATTAAACAACGAGTTGCACTTTCATCATTTTCATCGTCTACTGATGATGATGATGATGATGATGATAATGATAAAGAATTGGTAATGTTGATTTTGTTTTCTTTGAACGCACATTCTAGCAGCAATGCCTTCGTTCTATAAATATTATGTTATTCAAGAAATTTGTCATTTGTCTAGTCTGTATATGATAGCATAAATGTTCCTATCAAAGTAATTTTATAATATAGAAGTACTAAGTTTGCTTGAAACCGATTCAATATCATGAATAGAGATGTAAACTGAAACTAATAAAAGTCTAAAATAGACAAATAGAATACTTCTTTGTCGAGATGAAAGTTGGATCGAAAACTCAGTAAAGCAATCACCATTTGACTTTAGAGACTCAAAAGGACGAATCCTTTTAGACTGCCTTTAGTCTTAATATAAGCTCAAATGATGACTATCAGTTTGGTTCATGCTCTCGTCAACTGATCTGCTTCATATCTGTAATCATAAAAGTTAGCAGCCCAGCTTGTAAACAAATTTTCCAGTTTAAACTTTGGTATTTGGTTTTTTTAGTTTGGCCAAGACTTTTAAATCATACCTATATCGTTGTTAGGTTTGTTTATAAATTTAATCGAAACATTTTATTACATTTTTAGAAATCAACAACTGCTGAAGATACATCTACTGTTTCACCAAAGCAATCATCAGGTCGAATCCGAATTCAACGCTCATCATCATCATCATCGTCATCTGAAGATTCAAATAATAGTACTGAAATGTCAACAAAACGTTCCAAAAAACAACGTAGAAAACCAAGTGTTTCCAACGAACGTTCAAATGCTTTAAAACAAATAAAACGCAAAAAAAGAGACAAACAAAATTCAACATCTAGTCGTACTTCAGATAGTAATGAGAATAGTCATGATAATAATAGTGATAATCAAACGAAAACAAAAAAGACTAAATTAAAACTTACTGATGATGAAAATAATACAACAACAGATGATCAAGATGAAGAAGAAGGAATTTCTTCAACAAAACGAAAACATGGCCGAAAAAATATTCGAAAAATAATTGATGATAAAGAATTACATCGACAAACAAAAGATGCTATTGAAGCTGAACGTGAACGTCGAAAACGTATAGCTGAAAAACAGAAACAATATAATGATACATTACTTGAACAATCATCTTATATGTCAACAAGTGGAAATGATGAATTAAATAATTCAAATCATCGTTTAATACTTGAATTAGATAAAAAAACAAATGAACCTTTAATTGAAGTTTCACCAAAATTAGTCGAACAACTTAAACCACATCAATCAGATGGTATAAGATTTTTATGGAATAATGTTTTTGAATCAATTGATGCTATAAAAAAGAAAAAACATAATGGTAATGGTTGTATTTTAGCTCATTGTATGGGTTTAGGAAAAACATTACAAGTAATTAGTTTTATTCATACAGTTTTTAATTATGATAAAATAACGAAAGTAAAAACATGTCTTATTCTTTGTCCAATTAATGCTGGTAAGAATTGAAAATTTTGATTTTATTAGAATAAAAAATGTTATTTTTTTTTTGTCATAGCTCTTAATTGGACAAATGAATTTGATTATTGGTTAACAGATGTTGAACCACCTCTTGATCATTATCAATTAACAACAGTTAAACCAAATTTGCGTGTTAGTCATTTAAATTATTGGTATGAAAATGGTGGAGTTACTATTATGGGTTATGAAATGTATAGACGATTAGCAAATGGTTTTGGACTTAAAAATAAAAAACTTAAAGCTGACGCATATAAATGTCTTGTTGATCCAGGACCGGATATTATTGGTAATTTAAAAGTTATTTTATAACATTTTTATATCGAAAACTCAAGTATCTCTCTGAAGATTTGCATTTCTAATAGAAAATGAAAGATAATATAACTATTAAAGTTTCCATTGATATTGAGACCTATAATACTTTGATCAATTGAAAGAAGATGTATATGTCATGTACTGCAAAGCATTACATTCTCAACATAATATCCAAAACACGATTTTTTAGTGAATAGATACTATTTAATTCAGAAGGAGAAGACTAGAAAAATCTTAACAGAGTTTCTACTCATGGATTACAGCAGAAATTTACTAAACATGTTCGATCTTTTTTTGCAGCCAACTAGAGAATTGCCTAATATTATGAAGAGTTTTTCAATTGCTATCTATGAAATTGTACAATAAAGTAACAGCTAAATCTTTGTATAGTCAACAGGAACTTTCATATCTTTCAGTTGTTAGATGAATCATGCATAGTTTAGAAAAAAATTGCATTTAAACATTAGTTTAGTTAATAACAATAAAATAATCAATCATGCTCAGATGGAAGGGATTTAATTTTTTTTTTTAATTAAAAACTTTTGAAAACATTTTTATAAAATGCAAAATCTTAGAAAAATAGTATTAATAAATGAATGATTGAATAACTTTTCTAGGGAATTATTTTCCTTCTAGGTAAAAAAATATTTACTTTTTTCATATTTAGTTGCTGATGAAGGACATATTTTAAAAAATGCTCAAACAGCTCTTGCAAAATGTTTATCAAAAATTAAAACATCTCGTCGTATTGTTTTAACTGGTACACCATTACAAAATAATCTTATTGAATAGTAAATTTCAACGAAAAAAACGTTGTTTTTTCTTTTTAATTTAAACAATTTTTCTTCTCATTAGTTATTGTATGGTATCATTTATTAAACCAAATTTACTTGGTAGTCAATCAGAATATATAAATCGTTTTGTTAATCCAATTCAAAATGGACAACATCGTGATTCAAATGAACAAGATGTTTTTTTAATGAAACAACGTGCATGTGTTTTGCATGAGCTTTTAACTGGTTTTGTTGATCGAAAAGATTATTCATTATTACAAGAATATTTACCACCAAAATTTGAATATATTATAAATATACGATTAAGTGATTTACAATCATGTTTATACGATATATATTTAAAACAACAAGTTGATCAAGCACAACGTTCATCTGTATTAAAAAAAGATTTTAAATCAGCAAAATTATTCGCTGATTATCAATATTTACAAAAAATATGGACGTAAGAATTTCAACAAAAAATAAAAACAAAACAAAGTTCATTAATTATTTTGAATATTTTTTTTTTTTTCATGTGTTTTTTTAGACATCCATTTTTACTTTATCCACATTTTATTGATCGTTGGAAAAAACGATTAAATAAAGATGATGATAGTTTAATTGATGATAATGAATTAGAAGCTATGTTTATTGATGATGAAGAAAATGTTGAAGAATTGAAAAAGAAAAATAAGCAATCAAATGAAAAAGAAAAAGAGGTAAATAAAAGTTGATTAATTTTAAGTTGTATGAAACAACCGATATTCAAAAATTAGTCTGAAAATATTAGTATTAACGAGAAAGAAATATCAATTTTAATCCTCGAAGAAATCTTGTCATTTGACTGCGTAGTTTTTTTCTAAACTAATTTTCAGATTCGCAAACAAGGTAATGTTTTTAAATGTTAAATCGCGTTTGGACTTAGGACTCTATGCAGCACGTTAGTTTTAATAAATTATGAATATCCTGAAAAGAATTAGGATTAAAATCTGATTATCACTGAGATACTGTATGCTTACCGTATTTTTAAGTAGAATGTCATTAGAGGCAGATCTTAATGAGAATGATTTTTATTATAAAAGTTTTAGGTTTTTTGATTACTTCTGTTCTAAGATGCGACTAACGCTGCTCAAATTCTGATGTTTGTATTTCAGAATAGACATAACTAGTAAGCTATTGGCTCGAGCTTTTTTCAAGATATTCATAGTTTTATCAGAACCTACATAATGCCTATAGTTCCAAGTCAAAAGCGATTATCCAATATTCACTTAAACTTTGTCAGGATGTTCTATTCTATGTGCTCTATTACTACAGTTAACATTATTGCTCCTGAGCCATACAATAGGTTTTCTCAATAAACGACATTTTGTCGAAAAACTGTGAGGAAAGGTTCAACGAAAATTAAAGGTCTGCCTGTCATGCCAAAAATGCACAATGTAGAAGACTTTTAACATTCTAGTAAACATCTTCAAGATGCTATAATTTTTGAGAATACAAATATATTTTTTATATATCAATAAATGCATATAAACTTAAATTGTTACATTATGTTAATGATCTAAAATGATTAGGTTATAATCAGTATTTCTTAAAAAGTCAACGTAAAATTATCCTTGACTTAAAAATAATTTAACAGAAATCGATAAAAATATTCTAATTCAAACTGTTTTCTTATATTTTAGCCAAAATTAGAAAGTAGCTTTAGTGGTTTTTTAATTGACAATATCCAAACTGAAATCGATGATATTAAACCAATGACAATAAAAACAACTAAACGTAGAACATCCGATTCATCAACAACAACACTTAATTCTGATTCATCAAAAGATGATGATAAAATCATAGATCATATTGATTCGGATTCAAAATCAACAAATAGTGATCATGATATTGAAATTATTAAAAGTTATCCAACACGAAGTCGAACAACAATAAATAATACACCCAAAAAAAGTGCTTCATCAATAACTGTTGATTCAAGCATATTTGATACAGAAAATAATCAAGATACAATCGAAGAAATAAATAATAATGATGAGAATAATAATAATAATAATAATAATGAACAAGATGAAAATTCCGATGAACCATGGTTAGATGAAATGCGTGAACAATTTTGGTTTCCATTCTTAGATATGTTACCTAAAGAAAGTAAATTTGATATGGAATTAAGTGGAAAATTTTTATTATTAAAATTTATTATTGATAAATGTGCTGAAATAGGTGATAAAATTCTTTTATTTTCACGTAGTATATATGCATTAAATTTTATTGAAAATTTTTTAAAACATTTACATATGGAAAATGAAAAAGAATATCAAAAACAATGTGAATCACGACGACAATTACGTGAAATTCTTTCATCTAATGGAGATAATGATAATGTTACAAATGACTATATACCTGAACCAGTACAATGGATACGTGATCAAGATTATTTTCGTATGGATGGTCAAACAGAGATTATATCAAGAAAACGTTATGCTAAAGCATTTAATGATTCATCAAATTTACGTGCTCGATTATTTCTTATATCAACATTAGCTGGTGGTATTGGAATTAATTTAACTGGTAGTAATCGAGTTATTGTTTTTGATGCAAGTTGGAATCCAAGGTAAATTATAAAAATTCAATGTGAAATTCTTAATTTTAATAAAATTAAATCTATAAGCCAATTTAAAAAGAACATTCTGAGGTCATTTTTCATTAAATTTCGACTCACAGTATGATTGTTTGATAAAGAAAATTGTTTTCTATCGATATACACAAATTACTGAATGGAACAAAGCTATAGACATCAGTCGTGAGTAGATCGAAAGAGATTTATCGAATAGTTATATAACAAGTCAAGTTTTAACGAGAAATGGCTTCAGAATGTAGTTTTCAAAATTTCACTAAGAACTCATATGATTTACATATAGCTGACCAATCAATTTTTGATATTTCGACGCAGCCCGAATGTATTTTGACAAGATTATGAAGGCTTCAAGTTTCTTATGAAAATTACCTATCATCGTTTTTCTGATTTTCTATAGGGCTCGGTTTGGTATTTGAATGTAAACTAACGTAATCGTAAGACTCAGCCTGACCGATTATCTATCGTTTCATGCTTCTCTGAAAGTATCTGACTCAACAATATGAAAATTTTAAAGTCTCTGAAAAACCATCCGAAAACTGTTGAATCGAACTAAACTGAGATTTTTCTTAATTCCAAATCTATAGAAGACACTTACCTACAAAACACAGCTAATATGTTATTATGTCAGCTTGCAGAAACACAATATGGTTTTTTCAAAGACTGTCTGAAATACTGATGTTGGGAATTTTTCTAAAAGAAGTTTTCCTTCTAAAAAAATGCCTGCTAGTCTTGACTATCGATTGCTGAAAAATCTCATACCGTTGTTTTACATTTTGACTGTTCTGACACAGAGCGTTTATGATCATACAATTCATCAGAATAAATCTTGATCAGAATAGTATGAATAAAGGAGAGCGTGCAACTGTTTATTTCTTGGAGCTACATTCGGACAAAATATTCCTACCATCGATTGTGATTTTAAAAAAGAAGGTAAGTATGCCAAAAAAGAAAGAGTTTATTTCTTTTAATGAATTTGTTAATGAAAGATATTTCATTAATCTTTTTCTTGTTTACTTTAGTCATGATACTCAAGCAATATTTCGTTCATATCGTTTTGGTCAAAAGAAACCAGTTTATATCTATCGACTTTTAGCTCATGGTACAATGGAAGAAAAGATTTATCAACGACAAGTTGTTAAACAATCAATATCACAGCGGTAGAAATAATAAGAAAAACATCAAAAATCTCCTAATAATTTTTTCTTGCTTTTTTATTGTTCTAGTGTCGTTGATGATCATCAATTAGATCGTCATTTTACTCAAAGTGACATCAAAGAATTATATAAATTTACACCAGAACAATTACCAGAAGCTCGATCATCATCAACACTTTTAACAGAATTGGATACAAATTTTAAGTATCCAATACCTAAAGATCATCTTTTACTTGATCTTTTATATGAACATAGTCGTTGGGTACATTCATATCATTCTCATGATTCATTATTAGAAAATAAACTTGATGAAGGTCTTAGTGCTGAAGACCGTCGTCGAGGTAAATATTTTTTTATTTTCTTATCTTTTCTTCCTTTTACTATGTATTATTGACATTAAAAAAATTAGCTCTTGAAGAATATGAAAATTTAAAACGTTTACCTGATCAGCGTCAAATAGCTATCCAACGTTTTCAACAACAACAGCAATTAAATGCTTTTATTGCTCAACAACAATTAGCAGCAGCACAAGGACGAAGACCTCCTCAACATGTTCAACAATTATATTCAGATTTTTATCAAACACTACAAAATGTCAATGGACAAAATATCGATGGACAAAATTTAGAATTTGCACGAGCACTTCAAAATTTTTATGATATGAAAAATGCTAGAGAAATAGCTAATAATCCAGCAAAATTAACCAATAAACGTACACAACCACAAATGATAAATCAAAATACTACAAGTAACTAACAATGAAACTGCCTAATATGACTCAAATCCTTCTTTTTGCTTATAATTACAAGTTCTATAGAATAGACACAGTCTAAGAGAAGGTATTAGTCTGTGTTGCAATTCCACTGAAATATAGAAGTTTCTTATTGCATTTCTGAAAAATTAAGTAACTCGTTTTTGTGTTGATGCAGAAATTTAAACGGAAACAATTCATTGAATATCTGAATCATTTTTATCTCTAAGTTTATAATACTCTTAATATAGACTTTTGATAGTATTCTTCCCAGTACTATATGTATTTTTCAAAGTGTTGAAATACATTATACCTTTGATAATATTCTTCATTCTGTTTGAATCATACGGAGTAGAAAATAATTCTTGAATTAAAAGATAACAACCAGATCCGAAAATTTGTATTATTTATGCAAATACATGATGCCAGATTTTATTTTCATTATATTTAATTTATAAAATTTAAATATAAATAATTGAATGATTATCATTGTTTTTATTGTAGCTGGTTTAGTTCCAATTCAACCTCGGCCAACAACTGTCAGCACAACAAATGTCAATCCAAATGTTGTTATACTTCTAGATAGTGATGATGAAACGGAAAATGATAGAACAAATACAATAGCGAAATGATTATATTGTTTTTACCAAACTTCTTTTAATTAGCATGATTATTAAAGTTAAACATGCTAAAAGAAAAAGATTTTGTCAGATTATGTACATAGTTTATTTGTCGTGAAACTATTATTGTTGTTATTTTTTGTTCATGTTTAAAGTGGCAAAAATGCCATTTGAATTATTCATCTCTATTTTTGTTTCGTTCAGCTTATTATATGTTTTTCTTTCTCTCTACATCCTGTTTTTTGGCCAAGTGTATGAACAGATGCATATAAAGAAATGTAATAAATATTCATTATCTAAATAGAATTTATTACATATTGTTTGAACTGATCTAATTTATATATCATTAGGTTGATTATTGAAATTATAATTGTTCAATAATTTGTGTCAATGACATGTCATTATTGATTTGTAAGACGATTAGTCTAAGGAGGATAGGACAAAATTTCTAGCACTGACAAACATAATATAACCTTATTCAAACACCAACAAGTCTTCAATGGGAAAAATGATTTAGAAGAATAGATTTTTTTCTGCTTCTGTAATTATTCTTTTTGTAAAAATGATTTTCCTTTATATATTGTATGGAAAAATTTGTTCGTGGAATGCCCGTAGTGCCAATACATGCATATCGGTCAACTTAATTATTTTTCCACAAATTGTTGAAGTCAGTGTTTAATCTCCAATACGTTCACTATCATATTGAAAAATTTCATGAATGAACGTGTCTGTTTAGATCAAGTAATAGTTTGTGTCTGTCGTCTGAACTAATACAATTACTTAACTTTTGGTATAATGCTGTTTCTCTCAAGCCTTTCCTGTAAATTTAAAATTCTGTTTTGCTATGTAGATACAAGCAAAAACATATTTTTTATGTATCACATTGTTAAGTATGACGATGGCATTATTTGGTCAATAGAAGTATTCGATCAATATTACAATAACTTCTAGTATTTACTTTTTCGAAGCACTTTTCTAGGCTTCTACTATGCTTACTGATAATGGTTTGGATGAAAAATTGGTGATGCTTATTAAAATACCGTCTCAATAAAAGCCTTTATGCTTATAAGGCAATTTTCAAAGTCTTCCACACATTGGAAAATCTTCTGATAATAAGGGTTCTTTTCTCCTCAATAATAAGAGAATTCCCATAGGATAAAAGGAGAAAAATACAGTTTAAAAGATTGAGTCTTATGATTGATATTTGTCAATGATTTCTGTAGTTTATTCATGTTATTTTTGCACTTCTGGGCCTAGTTATATCTAATTTCGATTCGAACAATATTTTATTTTCAGAATTTTAGCGATGTATTGATATTGAGTTGAACGATTTATGGCAAAAAACTGATAAAAAATTCATCGAAAAAGCATTTTTTTTTTAAATTTTCAGAAAAACATTCTTTCAATAGAACAGCTTATTGCGTACTCGGAAACACCTTCCAAATTCTGTATTAGCAAAAAGAAAAGGTCTTTAAAAACTTTTTCCTTCAAAACAGTTAATCCAGTCTTTCAAATACCTTGAGAATAAGGTATGAACCTCAGAAAGATCTTTCGAGATATTTCGCTATCAACATAGTTACTTTAGTGACCGAAAGTATCTTCTGCGTAAGGTAACCATCAAAAAAACATCCTTCAGTATCTATTACGATCAGACTTATCATTGTAACATTGGAAGCACAAAATCACGCTACTTTCCTAGCACTGTCCTATTCGTTAAAGCAAAATGAGAGAAGAGGCACGACATTGGCTCTGTCCTTACAAATTATATACATTACATGTTGAAGATGATCAAATATTTAAAATGTATTTATAATACAGATGTAAAATATATTTCTGGAAATGATTTAAAATTATAGAAAATATATGACGCATCTAGTACTGTGTTGCTATTTCAACAGGACGCCGGTTGATGGTAACAAGAAAGGATATTAAAGAACTTTGACCGTACGCATCTCGTTGCTTTTATCGTATTGAACTCCGGACAACTATGTACTTCCCAGCGAATTCCCTGGATATTTGTTAGAAATTATTTATATGATGGAAGCAAAAGGCTAAATTCTGGATCTATCTTTCGGTCGTATCCGTGTATGCTGCCAGAAACTGTGTTCGAAAATCAACAGATGCGGACGTTTCTCGTCGTACGTCCTTAGCATGGGCAATAGAAAGTTTTAGGAATTAGCCGACATGATGCCTCTGGATGTCGTGGTACGGGTATAAGACAGCTAAATGAAACAAAAAAACAACAAACAAAAAACAAGCTTGGATTATATACACGCTATGATATGCTCATTTATTTCTTGACTACAACAAGAATTTCCATTTGTGTGTTGAAAAGATTTAACTACACGACAACAGCTCAATCTTTTCGAACCGATCGTTTGACGGTTTTCTATAATCGATAAATGAAAAACTTACTGGATCGATGAAAGTCGAAGTAATTGGTTAGCAAGTGTACAGAAATGGTTATGGAAAAAACAATTACAAGAATTAAAGTGTTACTTGTGTTACACCCATGGCTGACAAAATATAGGATATTGTGGTAATGGAACAATTTGTATAATTGCTTACGATATTTTAATCCTCCCATTGGTGAGCTAGTGAAAGGAATAGTGCATTGGTATAAAATTTACTCTCAAACAGAAGAAGTATCGATTGCTATTTTTGTGACTTATGCATTTGCTCTTTTTTTTAGGCCATTATCTATGTGATCAATCAATTCTTATTTAAAGTAGAAAATGAATGAAGTAAATGGCTAATATTGATAGCACAATGCTCTGATGAAGCATCAGCATTAGAATGCCAAGATCCAAGATATCCGAGATCCAGAAGCAGTGCATTTGCTTTTTATATTCATTGTTGAAATCATATAATTATCCTCACTGTTAAAAATTCACGAAAGAAGAACTTTTAGAAATCACATGGTACGATTCATAGAATACATGTATTTTTTGATGAATACGCGTAACATTTGAACATTTTAAAAAGATCAAAAATTCTTCATGGAACAAGCAAAGATGAAGGAATCGGTTTTGAGTTATAGAAACAAAATAAATATATTGAAGAGACATGTTAGTATATAGAAACTCTTTGTTGACAGACGTTTTGGGTACTAAACATCATTTCATTTCTCAAAGTTCAAAAGTTTCAACTGCAAACAACACTCGTTGGATATTTCATTGTGAGTTGGCTGCTTTTACTTGAACAGATATCGCTTCAATCGTACAGACTTTAATTCAAATAAGCGACAATAATACAAATGGTGCTAACGAAGCAAATGGGTGTGGGTGATGGGGCCGAGGTGTGTGCATTAGGATGTCAGTCAGAGTGCACAAAAGATTCGTACACACACCAATACCAACATACTCGTGAGAAATCATACTGAAATGCTTTGTCCATAAGACGAGTTTTCCTAGCATCCTTCAAAATTTCACTAACTGTTTGATTGAACATTTAGGGCATTATGAGATCTATATTCCGCTTATAGCTTATTCCTGAATCTGTTTGCGTATATTCATCTGTTCGTAACAACGTTATATTATACATGGCGCGATATCAAAGGTTGAAAAATTCAATAGATATTAACCAAATAAAGAAAAATCCATAGAACAACATGAAAAGAAAAAAAATCGTTGAAGAACGACAAACAAGATAAAAGAAAAAGAAAATAAGGGTATAGATTTAATCATGCAGATAAAGAAGAAACATTGTTATGACCACATCTGAAAAAATCAGATTGTAACAAACATTCCATAAACGAACTTCTGTTCACTAAAATTATAGTAGTATTGTTTTTTTGAGATTATTCTTGTTTGCCAATACTTTACAAAATTTTATCAATAGGCAGATACTATAATACTCGCGTATACTAACAAATTCACATAACAATATAAATACCACACTCTAGAATAATACGGATACATACCTACTTCACAAACTATATATATAGTTTTATACAATTTCTATGTTCACATTAAATATTTACTTTTTCTATTGGACTAGGCACAAATCATACCTACCGAGTTCAAAAGTCCTTGTTTATACTATTGTTCCAATGTGTAAACATTTTATAATGATCAAATGTCATTCAATAACTTCTATTGACATTTATTAATCAACTAAAAAACTTTTCTCATATAGTTGCTATGATTGACTGAAGTTTTATTTAGTATGATTATTCTTAATAATATCATTCTCCAATAGAACATAACTTTGTTATCTAGAAAAAGTCGTGTTCCGAACATGAGTCATGCATTTCAACATGTGACAGTCGAATGACCATTTCAAAGCTACATGTTATTATGCTTATATACAGATAAGTATTAATCATTTTATCATATTATATTTGAGTTTGTTTTATTATTAAATCAAATCAAATAATCAAAATTAAACTCAAAAAAACAAAAATTGTATTCTCAATTTTATGAGCAAAACTCTGCTCTAATTAAACCTTTTTGCACTCATCTGGTATATCAAATATACTTGGATCATCGATTTCTAGTACAAAATCTGTTGTTGTCACTGTAGTCAATCCTGCTAAAAAAAAGGAAAAAAGAGTATTCGTATATGGCTTTTAGGTCTAGAAAAACAAATATATATATACCAGGTGTTTGAAGGAAAATATTTCCAGTTAGTGGAACACAAAGACCATCATGACGAACTGTAACAAAATTAAGATTTCCATTCGCATTGACAGTCATGTATCAGCAAGAATTTTCTTATCACCATATCCATATATAGATGAACCAAAGTATTCTACTGTATCTATAATCAATTAGACAAACAGAATTGATAATTTTATTTGTATGAAAATAGAAAAAAACAACGAAGATCGATGATAATCTTACCAGGTACACAAACCAATGTTTTAGACATAATCTTTGATTTAACACATGTTTTCAAGTCTTGATTAATTGTATACATTATTTCATCATTTATATTTTCAATAATCCACACATTTGATTTTTGTTGACAAGGTAATGTAATTGATACACCTCTCATTGCAATCATACCACGATTTGCATCATATGTTAAATTAAAAGATGACTATTGTATATATAAAAATCACTGTCTAAATCAAATGATCTATATAAGAAATGACTGACATATGAACTGTATGTTTGATCACCAGGTAAAACAAGATCAACAGATGTACTTATTTTTGAGCTATATTGTGTTGGATAACAGCAACGTTCTGGTTCGTTTTTCAGTAATGCTGTTGATTTACCATCTAAGCCAACTATAACAATGACAAGAGTGATGAAAACATTTTTGTATGACATCATTGTTTTTTTTGGAGGATTTGTTTTCAACATGAAAGTTATTGAAGAAATGATTTGACTTATATAATAATAGAATCTATGATAATAAATATTTGTTTTTGATTTTTGTTATCATGAGTATACATTGATATCATTTCTAAATACATGAAAAGTAATTATCTTTCAGATATTTTTGTTCTTGATATAACGTCATTAACAAGAAACTATAATATCAATAAGTACAAATAAATAATTAGAACTCGTTTTGTCGAAAGATAAATTAGAATCAATGAGTGTAGAGCAGAGATTTAAGAGTTAGCCTTGCACCATAGCTAACTGGTGTTTTTTTCAGTATTCTTTGAGAAGTTCAGAAACCATAGGATGGCTTAGCACACTCTTCGTACAAATTTGGTCAAAGTTGCATCATCATGCGCTAGAGCGTGATGCTGACTCGTGAATCTCTGATGCCGAGTATAATTAGGTTATTCTTAATACTTTCATTTTCCTGAAAAGACTAGCTAAGCAGAATGGTTTCAAGTAAGAGCAATAAGTTCTGCATCATTTCATATGATAACTATAATTTTGTTTTACAACCTATTGAGGATAATAGTTACACAGTTTTATTACATGCCATCTAACATAAATTCGACTTGTTGGATGTGTTTTTCTATGCAAACCGCTTTCGGTTATACACCATTTCATTGAGAAAAGACAGAGCTACAAAATGACTTATAACTTATTTTACTTTGATTCGGATCCTGACATATAATATGCACTAGAATGATGTGTCGGTACAAAAAAGTAGTCTTTTTGCATTCATTTTTGGTGTTTTTTTTTTAGACTAGGACGACTTTTGACAAAAAAGAATGACATATTTGCAAACAATATGAAAAAGCGAAGCAATCGGTGTACTTTTTTAGAATCCAATCAACATTTTAACTTTCGTTCAAATATTTAGCGCTGGTCTACACAGAGACAGGTTGACATATGAAATTCCTTAAAATCGTATTAAAAGATTTCAAGTCAGATTCTATCATTCAAAAAACCCAGCTCTTTTGGTTGAGCAAGTGCGGAGAAATTCAGAATTCGTATTGTAGTGCTACTTATGGGACGCCCTGTATATTAAAAGGTCACATCACATGATTTACTTCATTACAAAAGAAGTGATATTCTAGTTTTTGTTAGTCTTCTTTTTTCCTATGATCTTGCATTGATTAGTGAGACACTAAGAGCATTGTTACAAAGAAACAAAATCGATAAGTCAGAACTGACGATGAAAACCAAGTCAATTTGTGTAATATCAAAACATATTAAAAAGAATATCAACATTTGTATCAGCGTGCGCGGCAACGATATTCAATCGACTATCTCTGCTGAAGTCACCAATAGCCACAGCCCATCGACACATATCAGTAGCAAAATACTTGGGCATTGTAAAACTTTCATTATCATAGCCACAATAAATGCTAATATAGCCGAATAAACTGTCAGCGACAACAGTATTCATATGAGTATCATGATTCACATCATCTGCAGCTACTGAATGTGGACAAGCCCCAAATCTATAAGTTATCTGTGATTGGAAGATGCCATTTCCATTGCTAAGTAATGATTGTAGCATTTGTACAACTTCTAGCGACAAGATCTGTGTTATTAGCACCATTAAAATCTTCGAGAGCTAGCCCATATGGATTCGTCACAGTTGATAATACGAGTGGTGCTTGAAAAGTTTCCTTACCATAACCTAGATGGACAGTCACACAGTCACTATAATAGTTGATGACATCAAAATCTGCAACGACTATAAATACTGGATGATTGGCAGTCACCGTAATTCGTTGTGGTGCGAAATTTCCATGATGGTAACCAAATAGAATACTGTCACTGTTTCCAAGAAAGTTGGCGATAACCAAATCTTATCGATAGTCACCGTTGAAATCAGCAAGTATGGAACCGAAGAAATTATAAAAACTCTTTGCTGGTCAAAACTATAATTTCCATAACTGAGCAGCACGACTACACTGGAATTTTCGTAGTGAAAAATGGCGAGGTCTAATTTGTTATCATTGTCAAAATTTTCCACAGCAACAGATCTTGGTTGATTTTGAATTGTAAAGGAGTTGTGCAACGTAAAAGTTCCGTCATCTTGGCCAAGAAATATGCTAACAGTAATATTATTATAATTGGGAACAACGAGATCAATGTAATTACTACCTTTCAAATCTTCGGCAGCAAGTGACAAAAGATTGCCTCCAGGTCTGTAACTAGCCCATCGATCGAATGTTAACATCTGACACTTCAGTAATAAATCATTAAAAAAACTGATAATTTGACTTTGGCAATGTAATCAATGCATCTATTAATATTCCTTTTCTTGACAATCTTAATTACTGACAAACTCTGCATTGTACTATTAATGAATAGTCCTGTGCATGACACCAATAATGCGCATGTCTCTAATTGAATAGATTCTTGTATAATACCTTACTTTTATCGTATACTTATAAAAAGTTAATAAAAATACTGATTAAGAAGGTAAGGAAAAGTTATAAGCTATCAAAATGAAATGGTCAGACATGTAAAAACTGCTCATAGGCAAGTAAATCGCGAATAAGGCCAAAATCTTGACACAAATTAACAGTATGTTTTGATTCGCTTGCAGTCATTGCCATTCATTTTAATAAGAGAAAAATGCTGATATTCATTGAAGAACTATCCATTGACATAAAAAAGACATGTACTTTGTCTACGGTAGGAAGCAAAACTCCTAGTTCATCGATCAGCCAAGTTGGTTTTCCTTGAATATTTTCAAGTCTATACTTTATGAGATCTTTGCATGTGCGCGCGACTTATTCTACAATGCACTAATAAAAAATAATTGTTCGTCGATTTTTGGAAAGCCGAGATTTATATTATATTTCATGCAACGTTTACCAGTGTTTTTTGTGAGGGAGTTTTAATTTCGATTAAATAATTTCAAACTGTGTCACACAACTTCCAGACAACAGTATATGACCGAGTTGTAACAAGTTGTAGTACTTATTTTCAATTTTCTAAACGGGTTCAAATGTTGATAACATGCTTTCTGAATGGTCAATTATCGTTGCTGCATACTTTGACATGTCTAAATGTGCTTATTGACGACTTGTCGTTGGACGGATAATGATGAACTGTACACTTTATTACCTAGCACGTTGTACATAAATATTTAATAGACATTACTTTCATTATTAGATTAGAAACCATCGTACAAAACGCACTGTATGAGGATGTTTTGTCTTTCGACAGAGTACTTCAATTTACATTTTTTTCCTAAACACTCATGTTTGAAAAATCGACAACCGTTTTATGATGCAAGGATCCCTTGAAAAAATGCTTGTAGTCTCACTTAGGTAACAGCTACAGCTTAATTCAACGTCATGTTTTCTAGAGAAATGTTCGCTCTATAAAATGATCGATTCTGAGAATTTTTCGCATGTATGAAAAAGCAATTTATAGGATGCATCAAAATCTGTTGCGTCACCATTGAAAGTCATGTTTCAGGTCTTTCCAAAAGTTCTTCATTACTCTTGAACAAAGATAGACACATGATTTCTAAGTCCATAATCATATTCTGGTCGCGACCTATAGTTTTTAGCTCGTCTGAAACACTTTCAAGTAAACCAAAATAAACAAACTTGTTCACTGAAAATAGCAGTTCGCAAGTGCCGTCCAAAAAAAGTTTTGTTTTTGGTTTCTAAAAGATTATTTCACTACTCTTGGATAAAAATAAAGACAAAATTTCGAAAGCCTATATGGATAAGAGGATAAAATTATGATCCTAACTCATCGGAAATACTTTTCAGCAGGTCAAAAGTGAGCAAACATCTTGTCTAACCACTTTCTGATCGCCCGTTTTTCTATGATAGTTTTGTGTTAATTTCAATAAAAATCTATCTTCAAAGTTCAACCTTGATTAATAAAATCGTATAACTTATTCCTTTATAATATCTCAAAATCAGTTCTTAACACAAATTCTATTGTTTACTTGTCATATTACATGACAAAGCACAGACAATAATTATTGCATGTTATGCTGATCTTTTTTGAAGAGAAGTTAAGTAATTAAGGAATAATAACATGAAATAAAACAATGATAATAAATAATAAATATCTAAGTCTGTCTAAAAATATTAATGAAAAAACGTTTTCATTGAGTAATTTACTAGCTGAATTCGATGAATTGCCCCAATTTTCTGGACAACAATTATAATCAGGTATTGATGACAATGTTTCATTCAAAAAATTTCGATAAACCATTCGATTATATAATGCTTGTGGACTACGATAATTGTCTAAGGAGATATTTTTTCGAAAAGAATTCATTTCATTTTCACTAAAATTAATAGGTGTTTTGAACACAGTCCAAATGACACCTTCAGTACAAGGTGGTGTTGTCAGTGAACCTCGATAACGCCAAAAATCATTGAGATTACTTCCCATCAATGAAGCTAAGTTTAAGCTGAGTACAGCTGAATTATTTATCTCTTGTAAATTAGAAGCTGTTGCAAAATACTTTTGCCATTCAGTGTTTGTTATATTTTCACTGTCATTGGTAGTATCGCGTCTTTTTCGTGTATGAATTGTTTCATTTGTACTTGTGTTCTGACTACTATGCATAAAGATGCCAAGTACAGCAACCACTTTTGTTTCAGGATTAATATGAACAAAATGAATTTCACCTGTAAGTTTTACACCATTTCTAAGTGAAAGAAAATAGATTTTATGAATACAAAAAAATTTTGTTAAAGATTAATTTACACTTGATGTTCACTGCCTGATTTAGAATTTTCATCCCAGTGAAGATGAAAATTAGAAAACTCAAATGTTCCATTCAAACCACCTCCAGTTAATATGAAAGGTGATGAATCGTTACCATTGTATGTACCAACAATAGTATGCCCATTATTTAAAAGTTTAAAAGTATAATTAAGATTATAAGCTAACGAAAAATTGAAAGGCGTAAATATTTGATAAATAGTGCATGCTGTTTTTATGTTGATTGGTGATTGAGAATGTCCAGCACATGATGGATATGTCTCACTCCACATATCGGGTCCTAAATCATGATAGTTCCAACTCTCACACAGAATATGATGAACGTTAGTCAACAGGAAAGGTAAAATAAGGATGAATCGCATTCGAATATGAATAGTTATTTTAGTGATTACAAAAAGAAAATGACCGAGTCTATTCACTAGCTCGAGCCATCAGTCAAAATAAGTAAAAAATATTGTGATTTTATTTTTTGCAAGAAACCAACCCAGTCTTTCATATTCATTTTTTTTACAGAATGTATTTTTTTGCACATAATTATTCTAAATTTTTATAGAACAGAGTTAGTTAATTTGGCACCCACGAAGCATATGTCAACATATTAAACCTCCTACTGAATTTGTGATATAAAAAATATATATTCTAATACATCTGTATATTGTATATGTCGACGTATCAAAAAATACATGTAATTAATCAAATTGTTCTAAGTGGACACCGAATGGTAAATATCGATGTATGCAACAGATTTAAAATTGCTTTAATTTCGTTCTGCTTCTTTTTTTTTTCTTTCCAATAGATGACATTATGAAAAGAAAGTTATAAAAATATAGGTAAAAGTACCTTTTACGCTGTTCTATTTATAAAAACTGTCAAGTTAATCTTGAAACGTTGCCTACTATCATAAGACAATTACAATTAGTCATAAACGGAAATAGTTTCTTTATAGAACATATACTTAATAATTTCCTTTAGGAAAAATAATACTTTTAAAGTAGTAGAGAACTTGAAAAGCAATATTTCAACATTGATATTCATATCGAATAAAAGAAGTATAATGGAAATCATTACATTTGCATAGAAATTTTTTATTTATTTATTTTATTAAAAAGAAAAAAAGTAAGTAAAAGAAATAAATATGATAAAAAAATTTGATTGGCATTGATAAGAAAAGTCTATTTGCCAAACTCTTTGAACTTATTGAACAACAATTATAATCAGGTATTGATGACAGTGTTTCATTCAAAAAATTTCGATATACCATTCGCTGATGTAATGGTTGTGGATGACGATAATTTTTCAACATAATATGTTTTCGAAAAGTGCTTATTTCATGTTCATGAAAAGTAATAGGTGTTTTAAACACAGTCCAAATAATACCTTCAGTACAAGGTGGTGTTGTCAGTGAACCGCGATAACGCCAAAAATTATTGAGATGACTGCCCATCAACGAAGCTAGGTTTAAACTGAGTACAGTTGAATTGTTTTTCTGTTTTAAATTTGAAGCTGTGTCAAAATAGGTATGCCATTCAGTGATTGTTATATTTTCACTGTCATTGGTTGTATCACGTCTTCTTCGTGTATAGTTTGTGCTATTTGTATGGTTTGTGTTATTTGTAATTCGTTTATTATTCATAAAGATACCAAGCACAGCTATTTCTTTTGTTACAGGATTCATGTGAACAAAATGAACTTCACTACCATATTTTTCACTATTTCTAAACAAAAGAAAATAGATTTTATGAATAGAAAAAATCTTTGTTAAAGATTAATTTACACTTGATGTTCACTGCCTGCTCTAGAATTTTCACCCCAGTGAAGATGAAAATTATAAAATTGAAATGTTCCATTCAAACCACCACCAGTCAAATTGAAAGGTGATGAGTCGTTTCCATTGTATGTACCAACAATTGTATGTCCATTATTTATAAGTGTAAAATCATGCTTTAGATGATAAGCTGATGAAAAATCAAAAGGTGTAAAATTTCGATAAATAGTACATGCTGTTTTGATGACAATTGGTGATTGAGAATATGTACCACATGATCCATATACCTCGCTCCAAACATCGGGTCCTGATTCATGATAGTCCCAAGTTTCACCAGTTGCTTGACAAACAATAGTCAACAATAATAAGATAAAAATAAAGGCTTGTGATTGAAGATACATATTAATATTTGACTTTTTTAAAATAGCCTACGCCTAAAACTGTATTAGCTTTTATATCGTATGTGAACGAGAGAAAAATCGAGAAAAAAGGCGAAGCAAGGGGAAAAAAGGCGAAGCAAGGGGAAAAAGGCAACTTTGACTCATATTTTGGATTTTGTTTGTGATAGATGAAATTTTATTTTCTTTTGGCGTGGAAAAAAATAACAATCATTTATTCAATGCAAATCACTATGCATATTTCTGCTTTAGTTACCTATTTTTAAACGAGAGCAAATTCGTTTTCATGGGCAACAGAAAGACACGCAATAAGTAAACGAAGAAGAAATACAATGATATTATATTCGAAATATATGAGTATCGAGGCTTCATAATAACATATGATTGGCTTTTGCTAAAAGGTTTCATATATTTTTAAAAAAAATAACGTGTATGAAGCCATTCAAGCAAGTGCAACTTAATTTATATGCTAAGATAAACATGAATCGCGGAGTTTTCTTTTATTAACATCAGAGATGGACCATTCAAATCATAAAACTAAATCAATACTGTTGATTTTAAACTTGGCGGACATATTTTATTTGTTTTATCGGTAGCATGTCACTGACATTCAAACTCTAAATGAGACACGTAATTATAATGAATAAATGATTGATATCTTTTTCAAGCTGATCGATTTATTTGTTGTTACAAACAGTAAATATGTCTTAGATACAGCTCAGGGTCGTATACAATATAATCAGGAGGATGTAATGTGACTTTCATTATACCTGCAATTAGTTCGTGCTTCTAGTTTCAATTGTGTTCAAAGACGAAAAGATAAAAATGTATTCGAATGTTGCTTACATCTCACTTGTAGTTAATCTATATTTCAAATTGTATTTGAAATAGATAAAAATTTCGTTTGTCTTCAACTCTAACAAAAAAGGGAACTCATTACACTGTATCAATGAAAAAAAACACTTCAATATTTTCATATCTCTTATCTGTATACATTTAGCGTTTTATCGTTATTTGTTCGAATATCAAACACTACAAGAATGAGTATTTTATTTCTAAATATAACTTTTCAATAGAAATAAATATTATTTAATCAATACTTTAAGATAGAGTACTGCGTCACAGTTCTCAAACCCGACAAATGTTGTTTACCTCATCACATGAAACATTCGTGACCGAAACGATTCTAAAAACTTTACGACGGAATAATATAGAAAAAAAAATAATCTCCCAAACTCTTGTTAATCCTTATATCAAAACATGTTGTATACTTGAAATTTTTTATTTCTGTCAAATATCTTAATATTCAAATAAATAATAGATAAAGAACTAGACTGCCATTCGAGCAAATATCAAGCACAGTGGACAATTTCTACCGAGAATCTTGATATGATTTCTTCTCTGTCAGAAATTTTTTTTGGTCATAAAAATATTAGCTTCTTGCACCTAAAACAAGATTAGTGAAAAAACAAAGACCTTTAGCACTGGAAAATTCTGCAGAGGGGCTACCTATCCTGAATTTCTCTCTCAAAGCTTTTTTTATTTTAAAAATTAACATATAGCACATCACTCAATGTAGTTTTTCATGTCGATTTCTAGTATGTCATTATTTTCTTTCCAAATGTTTTTATAACAAAGAAAAACTGTAAGAAAAACTTTAAAAACTACGGTTTTTAGACAATTTGTGTTTCAATCTAAGAATATTAGTGCATCGTTGTACTAACTGAGTGTATGTCAAACTATACAAGAAAATTCTCTGAAAATGACATTGTATCGGATTAATAGAGAAAAGTACAGGTCAACTTTATTGAAGACGTCTTTTTAGTAAACGCTTGGCGTTAAAAAACAGCATTTATATTTCCAAAATGAAAAATGTTCTTATAAATCGATAGAATAAAAGTTCTCGCTTTAGATTATCTACAATTTATTGAGTAACTCTTTTATTTTTCACAAAAAAAATGATGCTTTTCCTCTCAGGTGATGGAATTTGATCTTTTTAGCAGCTAAGTATTCCTATTGAATTTAGTAGTTACTTTCATTTTTTCACTCCTGTAGACGAAATCGAATTTTTAAAGAAGTGAATTTCAGATGTGCAGTCGTTACATTCTGACGACCTCGACAAACTTTTTCTCATGTTAAAATGATTTTTAGATGTGGAGAACGAATAGTTGACTTGAGTCGTGACTAATACATCGACAAGAAAAGGGAGAAGAATTTGTCATGGCTGCTAAGCAAATGAAAAGCAATTAGTTGGCTTCTGAACTTTGTACAGGGAGCCGCCTTGCAATCAACGAAGTTCGGGTCAAAAGAAAGTTTGTCATTCAGAATTCAACTTTAGAGTACAGAATGGATAGTAAATCGTTTGGTTTTTTTTCTTTTGTCTCTAAAACTTTACTCATGTACTGCGAATAATTGAAATAAACTTTCAAGTATAATTTATATTCATGTACTTTTAATAGAGACGTATCATTAAATAATTATAAAAAATTTGATTGCATATAATCATTCGTAAGATGTATCGTAAGATCAAGTTTTTCGCTAGAGATCGCTCTTGTCTTGTCATATGTCATATAGATAACGTTTTGCAGTTAAATCAAAGCAAAGTTGATTGGATTGGTAGAATAATATGAATTTACTCATATTGACTGACTGATTGACGCACAATTTATTTAAATGTAAGAAATCGAACAAGTTCTTATTGTATTTTATTATATTATGTGAGTTTTTCATCAATTTTATAGAAATACAGTAAATATGAATTTTATACCTCCCGATACGCAACGTATTTCTGAAGCTCTTGGTGATACTACGCAGGTCTAATCTAGATATTGATAGCTCTTCTCTCTTACATAGTCGATTCTTATTGTAGTTACCAAGAGACATGCAAATAGCTGTAACAAATAAACTTAATGAAAGTTTTCAATCAGTACCGATGCCTAATTATGGTGATTGGTTGAGAAATCATGAAGAAAAAGGACAAACTATGAAATCATTTGAACGAACTACATCAAAAGCTATTCCCCATACAACGTAAATGATCATGACTTATTATTTCTTTATTTTACTGTGCAAATTTCTTTCTTTTTTACATTATAGTTTTAGAACAATTTATATTCAACCAGTTGGTAGTTTTAATTATCCAAGGTAAGAATGAATTTCTGTTGTTTATTTTTTTTTTCGTTTGCATTATCAATATAAAATTTTAGAGCTGCACCACTTGATGTTATTATTCAATTTGCTCGTGTATTTTTTGCAGGATGTGAAGTTGAATTATTACCAACAATTGATTTTTCAAAAGATATGAAACATAGAGAAAATAATGGAATAAGACAGTATCGAACAGATGGTTTTTATGATTATTTATCTCAAACACGTGATCGTCGTGATGCAAGACGAGAACTTTTATGTGTTGCTGTAACTATGGCTGATATTTATCCCGATGAAAGTTGGAATTTTGTTTATGGACAAGCACGAGTAATAGATGGTCTTGGTGTTTATTCATTTGCACGTCTTGATCCATTATTTCTTGCATCACCACAAACTTTACTCACTGTTCCATTAACTAATGAACATCGTATAATAATGCTTCGACGTTGTGTAAAAATTCTTCTACATGAATTAGGTCATTTATTTGGTTTAAAGCATTGTATCTATTATGTGTGTTTGATGAATGGTGCAAATAATCAAATTGAAATGGATCGACAGACTTTATATCTATGTCCTGTTTGTTTACGTAAACTTTATTCAACACTTCAATTTGATGTTCGACATATGTATGAAAATTTTGTAAATCTATGCGAAAAATACGGACTTGAAGAAGAACGTATATGGTATCAAAAACGTCTAGATTGTATTCAAGATAATAAAAGATAATTGAAAATAATATCAAAAAAAAAAAGGAGAATCAGATCATCTCTGGCATTCTTACTAATAAACTATGACATGTAAAAACTTCAAAAATTATTTGAAACTAAAACGACACTAAATGTGAAATATTTTTAATAAAAATAAATGTTAAATAAACCCTTTGAAATCGATGGTACATATACATTGTACCACTTACTTTTCAATAGAGGAGAAAATGTTTCTTCTATAGTGAATTGTTAGCACTTGTAAAGTCATAAAAGTTATAGAATTTTCGGGTGCAAACTCACTCTATGCTTTTTCAAGTTGCTATTTATAAAAAAAATATAAAATTGAAAACTGACTCGATCATGATTGACCAATTTATTGTACGTAAGAACAGATTACAGGAACGAAAAGCAATATTGTTATTATTATGACCGAAAAAAATTATTCATTTATGTATTCATAATTATGAAGTTTGTCGTCAACACTGCATTCCATTTTAGTGACTAATCCAATGGATACCCTAGTGGAAGTATTGAGTGTAGAACAGCTGACAAAGTATCCTGGTACCATATGTCCGAGGAATTTAGTTAGATATTCTGGTGAAAACTGTCTCAATACTGCAGTACCACAAGTGAGTAAATGTACGTCACGACATGCCTTGTGTTATAAATATTTTCATAAATTAGACTTGTTAAGATCCAGAAATATCTTAAAATCACACATTTAGATACCGCCGAGCAAAGATACAAAAGAGTGAAAAAAAATGTTTTGAATTCAGTACTTTCACTAGTTTATTAGTTTTCTCTTACTTTCATAAGATCTTTGTGTAATCAATTTAGAGTGAAACACAATAAATTAATTGAAAAATAACTCAACGATATTCCAAATTAAAATTTTTAGGAAAATTTTCAAATTGGTTTTCAACGAAATTGATCGTTCATTTAAACGCTTTCTATATATCCCTTAAGCTCATAGCGATGATACCAGTAAACTGTCGTTCTGATAAAACTATCATATTATGTCTAAAAAGTTAAAGATTATATGATAATTGCTGAACAATACATGTTTATAATATTTGAGCAGAATCAAAGTTCTTTAAGCTCTAATGAGATCAAAAACTGACACTCAGTTTAGTAAAAAAAAAACAACCCTTGGTCAATAATGTAGTTACGTATCTCCTCGAGTTTTTCCGAAACTTTGATTCTAATTTTTATTTATCATTTGCTAGAACATATCACCATTTATCTTCAGTGTATGCGCGCTTATACACTTGTTAAAATGTAGTGTATCAAGTGTAACATGCTATCCAAATTGGTTGATAATTTTTATACAGTAATCACACAATGTTTCTAGTCCATCGGTTCTTTCACTCTTCCTGATGTATGAAATATATAAAAAAAACATGCATAGGCTCCTTGGTAAAACGAGCACCCTTGAACAAAGACTCTTTCGCTTCTTAATCTTTTTATCCTCTCTTACTTTGCATTAAATTTATGACTAAGAAGAGATATGACAGTGAAAGTTTTATTTCATTGTGGTGTACAGATCACTATATTAAAACTCTCATGTCATATCTTTACTCAGTAATAAATTTGATGCAAAGTATGACAGCATAAAAAGATAAAAGAGAAACGGACTTCTGATCTGACGGTGTAAAATGATATATGTCATATTTTTTTAATTTTCCCATTCGTAAAAATACGCCGAGTTGCACAATCTTTCTAAGTTTCGTCCGAGATAGATCATGTCAGTGGTAGTGAATAATTTGCATAGTAAGAGCTGACAAAGATTGTAACACATACTATGAGTATCAAGAAATTTAAGTTTTAAACAAAACTTCAAAAAATATGAAACACTTGGAAACTCATTTTAATACGTTTCACAACGTATTACAGAACGATTTCACATAACATTTTTAAAAATTTTCTACAACAAACCAGAGAAACATTGCTGAAACACGCGATAGCATCAGTGAATTCATTCACGTGTCATAGTTAGACTTGTATTAGATCTAAACATTTAAATTTGGTACATTTACTTTAATATTTGTTACCTCAAGCTTGTGCATTTTTTTTTTATCCTTATCTGTAGCTTTTCAAAATATTGTCTGCTACATTAACAACAAAGTAACGGAAGGAACTGTATCTTTTACATAAGCTTTCATCTAACTAAAATTCTTAATTGAACTTGGGTGTTATTTGTGACTTATATCGGCCAATCAGATTATAAAAGAGCTGTATTATCGAAAAACTATACAATTGTGAAATCAATTCTCATTGAAGATTATGTAGCTTTCGATCAATTTTATATTGTCAAATATATTTAAATTTGTCCCTCTTATATGCAAAACTGTAGTCTTCTGAGCTGTATGCCTTGCGTACCTACAAAGTCTGTTTAGAATTTGCTATCAAGAGTTTTTCCAAGTAATACACTACTAAACTACATATTTTTTTCTAAAGATGGTTTTGATTTACGTATAGGTATGCTCTACTATAATCGAACAATGAACTTTTCTTAAAATTGTTAAGATTTTACATTGAGTTAATTCGCACATTAAGATGAATAGGGAATGAAAACTATTAAATGTGGTCTAATTTACATCCTTATTCTTTTTATCTGAAAGAAATCAACATTTGGACACAATTTATTAATGATAACCCACTTCAAGCCCGTGAATGAAGAATAACTATTCCATGGGAGATTTATATAACACATAGTTAATAACTGAAAAGTTTTCACTACGTGCGTTTTTTTACAAATTCTACAAATTCAAACAGGATTTTTGAAAACCAAATAGTCAGCTTTGTAGAAGACTTTTCAAACTACAAAATTTCTATGCAAAGTTTTTCTGAACATGTGTTTATTCTTTGTTAATGACATGAATGAATACAAATATAGAAACAAGAAATCTTCTTGTAACGGAATAAGAAGTCCAAAACTCAATTCTAAATGGTATATATCCTGCTTGGGGCTCACAAGATGATAGTAAAACGAAAACTCTCGTTCTGGACAACCGACTTCGAAGAGAAAATTTACTAGAGCGCCACCTTCTGAAAATTCCACTAAAGAGAGTTATTTGTAATGAGAAAAGAACTTATTCAAAAAAAAAACAGTCCATATAAAGAATCAAAGATTATAATTTTTTATTGAATATAAACAACAAAAACAATTTGTTAGTTTGATAGCAGCGCCATTCTTCTGCGCATTTTGTCCTCTATGATTTATCATTCGTGAAAATAGCCTGTGATTTTATTTCTTCGAAAAGTTTGAATCAATTAATGTTATCAAGATCATTAAAAGCTTAAAGAAATATCTTACACACTTTTGATAATGTTTTCAACATAACGAGTTTTTATGATTTTAACTTATTCTCTTTTCTAAACATTTTTCTGTGTTAATGCATGAAGTATCAGCGACATCAACATCGATAACAACAGTCCATTCTATGCGAAAAAGAAAGAAAAAAAAGGAGAACGGAAGATATGCATGGTGATTGTGACGAAGCATTTATTTTTATTAGTAATCGTCTGTTTCGAGTATAAAAGTAACGTCGACATACCTATTTTCACCATTACATATTTCTATCGCCACTTACATAACAACATACTTTGTCGTTTTTTTTCAAACAGCTGTAACTAACCTATACAAGATAAATATGGTTAAAGTACACGTTGTGTATTGTGGTGGATGAGGTTATGGGAGCAAGTTTCGGAAGTTCAGCGATGAACTGAAGAAAGCTTGCTCCGACATAAAACTCGATATAGTAAGTTATAATTTATTTATTTATTTTAAATTAAATTTGATTGAAAAATAAATAAATTTTAGTCCGGTGAAGCAACACCTGAAACTACTGGATTTTTCGAGGTCACCGTTGATGGAAAATTAGTTCATTCAAAAAAAGTAATTATAAATTTTTGAAGGAAATTTTATTAATTGATCAATTTTGTAGGATGGTGATGAGTTTCCAGATACGAAGGAGAAGATGGATAAGATCGTGAAAGCGATCAAAGAAGCCAAATAATCGAAAGAAACTAAATATATTAGATAAATATAAAATGAGCAATGTTGGTAAGTGAAATCTCTTGAAAAGAAAAAGTTCGTACGTTATTATTGTTTTATTTTTTGTTTTAGAATGTCATCTTGAGATGATTGATTTGAACTGTCGACTACAAAAAATGATGTGTTGTGTGATCAAATTTACAAAGTCCTCAATACTGATTCAGTCAATAATTATGATAGTTACATTTCAATCATCTATGCAATTTAACATTCACATTTGAGACTCTACTTTTTTGTTGCCTTGCTCCTATTTTTATACATTTTATATAGGTCAAAGAAAATAAAAGATCATTATAATAAGATAATCAGGCATCAAAAGTCTATTAAAACTTTACTTTAAGAATTCTCTTTACAGAAAACTCGACATTCATCAATGAAGCAATTGTTTGTCAATCAACGTTCGCTTATCTCAAAAGCATACTTTTGAGATTTCTAATAATTAAAGGGTACAGGCATAGATCTTCTCTTCATCCACATCGTTGAAGTAGATATTTTATATAACTCAGTTTCATTATTAATCTTTGATAAAAAACTGTAAGTCAACAAGTTGATATAAAAATTTAATTTGTTGTTCTTCTGTTTTTATTACGTTGTTGAATGATAAAACAAATGTTAAGGCAGTGATAAGTAGCAGCATCTATCGTCGTACATCTCGTACAAGGACAATCTAATGGACATAGATAAACTGGTACATTCAAATAGTATGCAATCTTCAACCTTGAATTATGATGTTTTCGAAAGATTCGGAACTAACAAGGATAAAAAATATCTCATATGACAAAGCAAAGTTCTTTGCGAGCTTTCATTCTAAAGATGTCATTTTTTTTTGTTTGAATAAATGCATGTCAGGACGCAGGACAAGACAGAACATTTTTTAAAAGCTTTTACCTGTTAAGGAGAGAAAAGATCAATGTTGCAAAAATATCGCTCTAATTTCAAAAGTACTCATTTATAAAATAATAATAAATTGATTTTTTCGTTATTGATTGAACTGCAGGAAATTTTTTCTAGATAGTTGTGTTTTTTTATTTTATCGATAGATATATACATAGTCATTTAGATCAGTCGCCAAGGCGTGTGATAATATTCTCAGTACAGTTGACTTTTTCTTTACTAATTTTGGCTTATGATTCATAGACTTCATGAATGTGATGATATTTGAATCTATGATTTTATACTGACACTCGACATTTATTGAGTGGTAATGAATAGAAATCTTGAATTTTTATCAATGAATTGATCGGATAATTTATTTACTCTAATGATATTCGTATTTTTTTTTCTAAGCATTATATTTTACGCTCAAAATAGATTTTGTGATTTTTATACAATGATGACACGTTCATGTTTAAATGACTTGCAGTATATATATCAAAGTAAACTAAGAGAATTCTTAGTGAATGTACTGAGTTCATGATATCCTACTATCAGTATGTTACAGAAATCTTTGCGCACTTTTTATGGACTTTTAGCACCTCACTACAGAATGCTTAATCTACTAACTTATTGAAAAGTTTTCATAGAATACTATAGTAACTGAACAGGCTCATATGTATTGAAACAATTTTCATCACGGTATGCGAACAAGATCTCTACCCCAGTATAACAGGCACTTTGATCTTAGTATGCACGCGAGAAGTTGGGAAACTGAAGAAGATAACAACTTTCTTTTTATATATTTATTTTCTTTGATGTCTTTCTTTTAAAATTTGATCACCCATATCAAACAGATACAGTTATAAACAACCGAGTATGTAACGTTCATGGTCATTTATGAACTTCCGTATTCATCGACCTGCGTACATTTAATAAATCAATGTAAATATTTAAATAAACGATTTTTTCTATATTAATGAATATCATAATATGTATTCGTTGTTGTATGTTTCATTGGTGAAGGTTTCTTATTCAATTGTTTGCGTATTGCATTTAATTTAATCATTTCATTACTATTTGTTGAACGATGAACAAATGGATAATTGTATTCGATAAATTCATGACGACGTTGGATAACATCACCCATAAATAGAAGAAATTCCATACTGAGTTTAATTCCATTGACAAAATCTTATGATAAGATTCGTTTTTAATTATAAAAAAAAATCATATAATATTTTACTTTGAAATATTCTTCCTGGCAATGAAGTTTCACAAATACAAGGTATTGTATAATAATGTTCTTTAACATAATATTTTGGTTCACATTCTTTATTTTCTTCTTCTAGATTTTCTTTTGTATTGATAACTATGTCATTATGTGGTTTGTAATGATTTTGTTGTTCTAAGAAATCTTTTTCACGTCGATAAACATCAGTCAAATCACGAATATATTGATCAGATAATAAAACATGAGGATTATCAACAATTGAATTTGATTGAATTTTAGATATTTGTTGAGATTTATCATAAATTTTATTTTTATGAAAACATTTATATTTAGATATATGGTGTTGATGTTCAGTAGATTGATCATGTGGATGTATAGTTTGATTTAGAACTTGTGTTGATTGATCATAATCATATTTACTCGATGTCATTTTATTTCTATAAACTAATGAATTATTCGAAATGAAAAATAAACAGTACAATCTTATGAGAATAAAAGCGCTTTATCAGTATTTTGGAAACTCAAAGAATGAATGATAGGATCTTATTTTAATCGGAAAAAGATATGTAATCTTGTTCATGTAGGATAGTAGAGATATATTTCAAAAATGTTTTGCAATATTTGATGACATTGTAAAATGATAGTAATTGATATACTATACGATTTGTTTTCTATTGAATATCATCAATATGATCTGTCATTAATAATATTTGTATGAAATTTAATATATGTAATGACTCAACAATAGAACAAATTGATTTTGATATGTTACCTGTTTTCATATGTCATTTGAGCCAGTTATATAGCAATTACTCTTCTTTCTTTTAGTTTAAAACATATGGTAAACACAATCAAAATATTTACCTATTTATATGAGAATGTATTAACATAGAGAGAGAGCTTCTTGATCATAACAAAAAAACCCTGACTATGCATAAAAATTTCTATTGAGTCATAAAAGTTAAAAATGAATACTTAATTATTGATGGTGATATTTTCTTACTCTCGAATAAAGTGCAAAAAAAAAGTACTCTCATTTTTGCTCGTTCACATATACCTCTCGGTCGAATGTAAGTAGAAACGTGAATAAGTGTGAGGCTATGGTACAACTATCGTTCTATTATTCGTTCATTTACTTCGAACATTAAAGAAATTCTCCAATGTATTACATTATGCTTCGACCTATTAGACAGACGAAACGATTTTTGAAAACAACCACTAGACTATATAAAACTGCCATCTGGTGGTAAACCTAATGGTACACCAAACAAAATCGACAATTTTTTTCGTTTGTTTTTCATATTCTATTTGCATCAAATAATTTTATTTATAGGTTTTGTTTTGTTGCGACATGGCAAGATTCCGGCGTGACTGATTGATTTCTATTTTCTATTTCAGTCATTCGGTATCTTTCTATATTGCTCAATAATTGACAATCTTTTAGATTAATATTGTTTAGTTTTATTTTTATGATAAAATGAAGTTTTAAACTACTAATTTTCTGTTATTTTTTAACTGAATGTTCATTCAAAATTTTTTCATAATCTAAATAAGTTTTTCGACAGCATTTGCAATATGTTCGGCATCAATACCATATTTGCTTAATAATTCAGCTGGTTTACCACTACGTGCAACTTCTCTTACAGCTAAATGAGCAATTTTAATATTAGTTTGATCAGCTAATGCTGCCATAACAGCTTCACCAAGACCACCTTCTGGATAATGATCTTCAACAACAAGAAGTCGATTTTGTGTTGCATTTACCGATTTAAGAATTGTATCACGATCAAGTGGTTTGAGTGTAAAAGCATCAATAATACGAACAGCTTTACCAGTACCTTTAAGTTTTTCTGATGCTTTAACTGCTTCATGTAATGTAACACCACCAGCAACTATTGTACAAATATCATTTGATGATTCGACAACAATCTTCAAATTATAAACAAAAAAAAAGGAAATGTGTTTTATCTTGTTTATTTCTATATCAAATTTTCATCTTACTTTTGCTTTTCCAATTTCAAAAACTTCATCATTTTTATATAAAATTGGAAAATTTGGTCGACTTGTACGAATATAAACAGCTCCATCATAATTAGCTGCTAATTCAACAGCACGTTCAGCTGAAACAGCATCCGATGGATAGAAACAAACAATATTTGGTACAGTACGAAAGAAGGCAAAATCTTCAAGTGCCATTTGTGATGGACCATCTTCACCAATTGATACACCAGCATGTGAACCAACATATTTAGCACGTGTAAATGATATTGCACCCATACGAATTTGATCAGCAGCACGTAAAAGAAAAGCTGCAAATGTATGAACAAATGTTATATAACGTTGACGAGTTGCAATTCCAATAGCAACTTGTATCATATTTTGTTCAGCAATATAACATTCAATAAAACGTTTCGGAAATGCATCCTATTTAAATACAGAAAAATAAAATATGAAATAAAATGAAAATTATCGATTTATTAGTATGTGATTATTGAAGCATTGAATTTTATATATTTCATAAAAGAATAATTTACTAGTTTTTAAACGAAATATAAATTTGCATGAATCTCAATTAAAGATGTACGAAATCAAATTGTTTCTATGTCTCGAAAATAGTGATCAAGACTATGATGTTTACCAATAATCAGAAATTTTTATTATTGTTATTAGTCAAAAGTTCGAAAAACAAATAACACTATTGGTTAACATGAATATATTCCGCGTTAAAACTGTTGAGAAACTTTTTTTTCACGAAAAATAGAAAGATAAAATCAAGTCCTTTTTAATTGTGTAAGATGCTCTTGAATCGAAAACCTTTCTTGTAACATCGATAGCAAAACACATAACAGTTATTCAGTTGAGAAAAAAATATGAATGCATCCGTCTTCCAAATCGATTGAACTTGTACTGACTATACGAGAAGACCTTGGTAACAAATAGAGACAGTTTAAATAGGTTCGTACGCATTGACCTTTGAAGGTGACGTGAGTTATGATTGTTTTACTGAATTTTCGCCCTGTATTTTTGCTCACAGATAAATCCAATAACCCATAGACTATCTTGAAAATTTCAGTCGAAAACAATGTTCCTTTGTCGAGATATTGAAGTTCCAAAAAATAGTCAGAAACATGTGACAAAAATTTCGATCCACATATGAGCAAAATTACAGATTGAAATTTTATTAGAACGATCATAACTGATGTCACTTCCAGAGGTCAATGGGTACGAACCTTTTTAAGTTTTTTTTTTAATCTTACCGAAAGTTTCTTGAAGTTTCAATATTAGCTCAAATAGCAGGTATTAGTTCGAGTAGTTTCGTCGTTGAAAATACTAATTAAGACGAGAAACTTGTTACATCCTTTAAAAGTTTCCAGGGCTCAATATAGTAGTATGTTTATTTTATTTAGGCGAAGGTTAGCAGTTTTTTCGTAATCTGGATCTTCGCAACTTTTCTTTCCTGTACTCTAGATATTTCCTATTCACATTTGAATAAAATATCTTACATGAAATTTGATCGAAAAAGTTGAATTTTTTGTATCACCATCTAATGCAATAACATATTCGCAAGCTTTGCCTAATTTTTCAAGCGCAGTACCATGTGCAAGACGTGTAGCCACCTTTAAAAAATTGAAGAAAAAAAAGTATTTTTCTAAAAATTTAAATTTTCTTTATTCAAACCTCTTTTTTGCCATCATAATTCGGTGGTGCTAATTTAATTTGTTTGTCCTTTTTAATTTCTGGAACTTTAGCAGTAATTTTTGGAATCTGTGGTCGAACTAATGTTTCTTCCTTAACTAATTTTCTTAAATGAGCAACAATTTCATTTGCTTTATCACCCAATGGTTTTCCATGCCAATCTAATTCATTTTCAATACCTTTTAAACCACTACCTTTAAATGTTTTGGCTAGAATACATGTTGGTTTATCTTTTGTTTCTGATGCTTCTTTAAAAGCAGCAAGTAATTGACTAACATCTTGTCCATTAACAATAATTGCATGCCATCTAAATGATTGTTTTTAAATCAAATAAAACAAAACAAAAAACTAATTTCTTTTATTTATGTTTTCTTTCTTTACCCAAATGCATCAACACGTTTACGATAAGTTTCCATATCATGTTGTAATGGTGCTGGATCACTTTGTCCAAGTCGATTAACATCAATGACAGCACAAAGATTATCAAGTTTATAAAATGAACCAAATGCGAATGATTCCCAAACACTACCTTCTGAGCATTCACCTGAAAAAAACCAAAATATTTTATCTTGCAAATAAAATAAAATAAAACAACCAACTAACCATCACCAAGTACACAATAAACTCGATAATCGGATTGATCAAAATATTTTCCAGCATATGCCATACCACATGCAAAACCTAAACCTTGACCTAATGAACCGGTAGCAACGTCAATAAAATTTAATCGCTTAAGAAAAAAATAAATTTTAATTTAGAATGTTTTTTTTTTCAAGAAGAAACATACTGGTGTTGGATGACCTTCGAGATCAGAATCAAGTTTTCGTAAATTTTTTAAGTCGGATACAGGAAAAGCACCAGCTTCAGCCCAAGCAGCATAAAGAATTGGAGCACAATGTCCCTGAATATTAACAAACCATTTTTTTACTTCAATAGTAATCGGGTTTTTTTTATTTACTTTAGAAAGAACGAAACGATCACCAGCTGGATTACGTGGATCCTTTGGATCATAACGCATAACATTAAAAAAAAGTGCGCTTGTTATTTCAGCCATTGATGAACAACTAGTTGGATGACTATGAAAAAGAATTTATACAAAAAACAAAGATTATTAAAAACTAATAGAGAATAAATAAAACTAACCCTGAATTTGCCTCTTGTGTTGATTCAATACTGTGGATACGAAGCAAATTAGCTAAACGTTCCAAAGTAGTAACTGTATTTGTATCCGACATTCTCGTTTGTATGTAAATGATCTGAAAAGACACCGATAAATAACTTAGGTATTCTTGCGGCGTATACGATATGAAATTTAAAGTACAGACGCAGTATGTTAGTATACATTTCTTTTCTCCTTCATATTCTGAGTTTCTTATGTCTGATCTACGGTTATTGCTGGACTTGATAAAATCAACAAATAAGTAACTGCCACAAAAATGGCTATAAATATCAAGAGCCCTTTCATGATTAATTTTTATTGATGTAAAAAAAGGTTATATTTTATGATAAGAGCCCTATCGAACAACAGGTCTTAAGTATTCGATTGGTTTTCTATATTTAATAAGCAATGATGTAGATGGCGTGACTTTTTGATTTTGTATAGAGAATTGACTTTGGTCTTAGAAATAACTTGTTTTTTTTTTGTTTTGCACATATATTAAAAATCATTAATATTTAGGATTTATGACTATCGTTGATAGCTTAAATAAAAACTAATTGAATAAAATTCATAATTCTGTTTGATAGAAAAAATGATAAAAGGAAGTTTCTTGAAACTATAAGTTTGATATCTAATTAATACATTTGATTGATATTTTTTTTTCTATTATACTGTATTTTTATAATAAATAATTAATTTGATATATAATAGAAAAAAACTTACAAGCAACTGTATTTTTTCACATACTTTTCGAAAAGTAGTATACAACTTTTGATACTGTTCTTTTATAAATTTTATCACTTGTTTATTATTACAATATATTTCGTCAAACTCACAGTCATTTGAGTTTCTCAGTCAAAAATTCTTTCTTTAATTGCTCAAATAAAAGTTACTCAAAAATTGGGTTTCGACATATAGGACATTGAAATGATGTTTCTTCGTCAGTATCAATCCAATTATGAATACATTCTGTATGAAATATATGGTTACATGGTAAAATTGAACATTTTCTTTTCCGATCCATTGTTGATAAACATATTGAACATTCTTCTTGTAATTCATCATCTTTATTTAAACGATGAGTTTCAATATGTATTGGTAATCGATTTAAATTATATGTTTGGTAAATATCAACAACATTTATCCATCTACTAGTATTCATTATTCGCCATTTACAACGATTTAAACCAAACTTGTCAGCACGTACACTATTTCCACATACAGGACATTTGAAAGTATACATACGAGAAATGGTAAATTCTCCCATTTCTAGATTACCAATAACCATTTCTTTATGTGCCTTACATCGACCATTTGTAGTCAAACATCGCCCTTCAAGACATAAACCGGGATCTACAATACGCCATGGGATAGGTTTCATATGTGAAGATTGTATTTCCGCTTGTTGTTTATTACTCATTTTTATTGAATGTTTTTTTTTTCTACCTTTATGTATAATATTGGCAAGCGTAACAAGAAAAAAAAATACGACAGTTGATACTTATAGGTGAATAACAATAATGTGTTTATAGATATTCGTACATAGATGGAGAAGGAGGTTATATTTTAGCAATGGCCAGAAAATTATTTTCTTTGTCGATATAAATTGAGTTTTTGAAAAAAATTTTTGTAAGAAAAAATATCATACTGAACTACAGTATTTCTTCGTTTTTATTTTAACTTTTTTGAAATTGTCGATTAATTAAAATAGTTCAGTTAAGTAACTATTTTGGGTTGACTTGAATTAAAAAAAGAATAAAAAAGCGAAAAAAAAATTCAATAGTTCTATCTTGAGGACTGTTTCAAGAAAACAAAATTAAATACATTAATGATCAAAGCAGAATATAGAGTCATTCTTAGAAAATGAATCATTTATATTTCCATTGTCGCATGACATCGATTTTTGTATGAGCTATTTAATATTTGACGCAATTTCCTATTTGTCAATAGTCAAATATTGATTATTTGATCGCCATTATTCATCGCCAAATGTTTTATATGATTTCAAATAACAGAAACAAATTATCTATCAATAGTGAACTTTCGAAAGATAATGGTAACTGATTTCTATGCCATTTTCATCATAACAAAAAAAAAAGAAACTCAATTCATTTTTTTTGTGTGTATTGATCGAAAACAATGCATTTTCTTTTATTAGTTCTTTTATTTCTAACTATTCCATCGATCTATGGAAATACGAAAAGTGAACCTAGTAAAACCAATTCTGAATCTCATGTTCCTCCAAGTAATGAACTTGGTTTAACATTTGGTCATACAGAATCTAAGCGTGATAATGTTGTAATTATTTATTTTGATATATTAAATTCAACATTAAAAGAATATCGATTTTATTATTTTAATCTTCGTCCATTTGGTACGTTTAGTGGTAATGAATATTTACCACGACAACGTTTTCTTGATACACATAATTCATTACGTATTATTGGTTTACATGAAGGTGATTATGTATCATGTCTTTCATTTATTGATGAATATGAAACAATATTTAATCCTCGTTATGCTTGTTATGAATTTACATTAGGTGAAAAAATTGTTGGTACTCATCAAGGAGGTAAATCAAATTATTTAGCACCATTATTATTTGTTGTTGCATTTGTTTTACATATTTTTATTGCTATTATTCATTATATTAAATCTAAAAATTATGCACAAAAATTATTACATCGTTTTATTGATGTTACATCAAAATCCAGTAAACGAAAAGTAAATATTAATCGTTCATTAAGAGAACTTGATAAAGAACTTGATCATCCACATATACCAGCATCTGTTCAACGACGTTTATCGCGTGTTACTATTGAGGCTAGTAATGAAAATGAATCAAATCATCGAGAAAATTCTCTAGTTGATGATCCTCAAGATGAATTACCACTTTATATATTACCTCATCATAGTCGAAGAGTTAGTTTAGTTACTATGCAAGCAATACCCGAAGATAGAAATACAGATACTATGGATAGTGCATTATCCGTTCGACATTTAATCGATTCAACACCATGGATAAGACGTGCAAGTCGAACAGTACATTCATCACTCACACGAAAACATCCGTTGCATGCATAAGAAGAATAAATATGAATTTTGATTTGTATAACATATATATATAGTACGTCCCAAAAGTCTATTGAGAAAATTAATGTAAATTTCTCTTATATAATTCAAGCGATTAAGTTGATCTTTTGGTCATGTTTGGTATTTTATTTTTTTCATTATCCAAGACATTTCATTAAAAAACAAAATACTATCATCAGTTAATAAGTCATAATTTTTAACTTTACTTAGATTTCAATGCTTTTGTACAACTGGTACAATGAAAAAAAAGGAGAACATTCTGAAAGACTGTCAGAAACTAAAAAAGAAAAAAAAATGGACGAAATTTAGAATATTTGTGAAAAATGAACCACAATCAGGTACTCAAACAAAATACAATTTATTTTGTGAAATGGAGCAAATCTTTGCCACAGCTCGTACAAATGATTGTGATTCATCTTTTCCAAACATCCTGAACTTTGTCGAATTTTCTTTCTATAATTTTTGATGGTCTTCCAACAAGCTCTCCATCTTTTATTGAATCAGTTTCACAAAGCATCGACATGCAAGTTTAATGAAATCTTTACCAGGGCTATTTTTGCCGAATTCAACTTCCAGTTTTCATTCATGAGACTTTAAAGAACCTATTTAAGTATAATAAAAAAATCAATTAAATCGCCTAAGTTGTATAGGAGATATTTACTTTAACTTTTTCGGTGGACCTTTGAAATTTATTCAAATATATATGTTAGATTTCACATAATCATGCTTTTTTTTAGTTATAGAGTTTTTTTTATTATTTTTACATTAGAAAGTATTTTGAAATAGAGATTTAATAATAAACTAATGGATTAACGAAACAATGTTGTGAAAAAAAAGAGACTTAATTAAAACCATTGCTATTCAATAAGCAAGAGTCAAAATAAACAGTTCATGTGACAAGCGAAAATGGTCAGTCGATTCTCATTCTAATGTATTTATGAGTGTTTTTTTTTCTATACAAATAATAAAAAAGCTTAATTCAAAAAAATGAACTTTGCAGCTGCAAACATAAGCAGAAAAAAAAGTTTCCTACTCTTTCTGAAACATGTATATTTTTTACGCAGAAAGTAACAGAACTCATGACACATTTTGACTAAAAACGCGTGTCAAATAGAATCCCTTGTCGTTTATAAAAGATCAGATTTCATGCTCTGTCAATTTCGATTTTAAGAGTAAGCGTAAACAATTTTAAGTTTCCTCTGTAATGAACAAGCGTCAGAAATGATCATTCATTTCATATTAATTACTATTAAAGTATGAGAAAATTCTGCAACTCTATTTACTCTAATCAGAGAAGTTACATACTAATTCAATGATTTATCTTTATAAAATGCGAGTTCAGTTAATGAAATGTTAGTTTGAACAATACCTTTTATAAATTCATTAATTTCATTGAATTTTCCAATAAATTAATAAACAAAATCATTTCTTATTAGTCAATTATTATCAATATTTAAACATCAATGGCTTCTTCACTCTAGTTCACAAATCACTAACTTCTTAATTGATAGAAATAAGATCGCAACAATATTTTATCTTTCTCACATGTACACCTCCATATTCATTCGGGCGTAACAGACACATTGCTTATGTCTATATATACTTCTATTTGCTACATCATGGCCGTCCAAATTGATTCTCTACCATTACAAAAGTAATTGCTTTAAACGACAAGGTAGTACGACAGAAAAAAAGATAGCAAGGTGTTCAAGGTAGTCGTCCGTTTTTCATTCAATATCAATCAATAAAAAGAAAATGAATAGTAACAATTATAAGAATGAAATTATTGATGACAGTGATAATCAACGTTTTCGTCGAATACGTACAGAATGGTTTCACAAAACACAACAACCATCTGTACCAAATTTATACGAACAAACAATAACAACAACAACAACAACTACCATAAATAAAGAATTGAATTCAACAACAGATGAAATGACAACAACTCATTTAGAAAAAAGTCCAATAAGACGTGTTAACCTTGTTACAGGACCACAATCAGCATATGCTCGTCTTTTTCCAGATAAATATCGACAAGAACAAGAAGAACTTGCAAGAAGACAACGTTCAAAATCATCAGATGATCAACGTTATGATTTCGATCGAGTTAAATATCAACGAATACCTTGTAACAATAATGACGGTGAAGTGATAACTAAAACTCGTCAAGTTTCATTCTTTGATGAACATGATGATGAATTTTTATCTGATCGAACTCTCGTAAATGCTCGTACAAAATCTGAATCACATATGAATGAAAATATAACTCATATTCCACTGAATTATGATCCCGATCCAGAAATAATCTATCGTGATAATCCAAACAAACTTGTTTATGTACAAAAAATAGGTGTTCGATATTTAAAACCTCCTACACCACCACCACCTGCACCAATTATTGTTCGAGAAGTACAATCAACACCACCACAAGAACCACCACCACTCGTTGTTTCAACAACACCGTAAGTTTTTTCAAAACAATTAATTCTTTAGATTCTTTATTTAATAGACCAATCGTACCACGTACACCATCACCATTGATCGTTCGTGAACAGCCACCAACTCCACCTCATCATCAACCGGCAAAAGTTATTACTAAAACTTTACCACCTCCGCCCACACCACCACGTCGTGTTATTATTAAACGTGTTCCTCCTTTACCAGCTAAACCTCGACCAGTCATTATTGAAAAATGGTTACCATATAAAACACCACCAGAACGACCCGTTATTTATGAACGAGCACAACGATCAGAACAAACTCGTCAAACACCACGTAATGTTATTCTTCAATATGAACCAGCAAAAGTACGTATTGAACAAGAAATTCAAAATGTTGGTTGTTTTCGTGTTGATCCAGAAATATATCGTGCACAATTTGGTACATCACTTCGACGTACAGATAGTATTCGAAAAGTTTTACAAGATATTGGTTGTAATCCAGATTTATTAGCATCAACTGGATATCGAACATATAGTTCATCAAATCGAGATAATTATTCACTATCGTCATCACATTATGATTATCCAAAACGAACAACAACTTGTTTTACTGATGAACAATTATCTGAATTAATTGATACAACGGCAAATACTAAGCGTCGCTATGATTTCTCATCAACATTTAATAATCCAAATAAAATTTACTATTCAACAGTCTTATCAAATAGTTAAATATTAACTTCTTTTTGTGACATTTAACTTTAATGACTTTTATTATTACAGAAGTTTTCAAAGTTAGAAGATAGATATTATCTTCTTGATTATAATATTAATATGAATAGTTTTTATTTTATACATTTATACAAAAAAAAACAACGAAGGTCTTTAAAATATTAAAATACGATTATCAGACAAATGTCACATCAGTAAACGTCCCAGGATATACAAGTCACCTAGTTGATCATGATCTCATAAAGTTCTAATTAAATAGTGACACTCGTCGTGACTTTTTGGTATTACTAATACTAGCTAGAAGAGTCGATGTCACACCAAAAACTGATGTTTCGGTGAATCCTAGTTAGTAATGGAAAAGTTTAGAATGGTTTGTTTTTCTGAACCTTTGTCTTTAAGATGTCGATGTTTTACTGAGTGTTTCAATAAAAATCTGTGGTTCAGGACTTATTTTTTCATACGAGAAATTCAAAGAAAAGCAATAAAATGAAAACTTATCCCTTCCCGAAGTCCATCTTAGATTTTTACATAATTCAAAGAATATTGATTCTAATCGATAGATGTCTCGAATAATCAATCGTTGTGTATTCTATTCATCCTATAAAAACATTGTTGATAGGTTAAAATAATCAGTCAGTTAGTTACGGTTGTTAAGAGTAGTGCAAGTAAGATATTTATTCATCATTTTCTATTACATTAACGATGGTTAAGTTACATGTAAAACATGGTGATGAAAGTCAATTTTTATTAGAAACAACAACTAATATACCAATTGATAATCTAATTAATCAAATATCACTTATATATAATGGTCGACTTAAAGTTCATCGAATTTGCAATGGTATATAAAAATTTCATTTCTATTAACGGACTTTTTTTTTATTATCTTGTTTATTCTTATAGAAATGTCCATGTTAGCTAAATATGGTATAACATTACCTGTTAATATGCAAGGTTTAACTGACGACCAAATAACGGATCTAAAATTAAAAGATGAATATGCTGATAAATGTATACCAATGGATGGTTATGTTGAAGAAGAAGATGTAACTGGAAAACGAAATGGACGAGGTAAGGATTTTATTTGAAAAGAAATTTTGTTTTTTTTTTAAGTTAAAATTTTCTTTTTAGCTCCAACAGAAAAAATGCGTTCAATCATAGAACGTACAATTCAAGAAGCAAAAGATAAAATTTCCAAAGTACGCGACGAAAAACATCAATTAAATAAATTCAAATGTTTATTTTTTCTTTTTTTTTTCTAGAAATTAGTTCAAGCTGATCAATGTGTAACATGTGATCAAATTAATGAAGCATTACAACAATTAAAAGGTGCTGTTATGATTGTCTATCCCATGGGTTTACCACCGTATGATCCAATTGAACTTGAATTTAAAAATCAAGAAGAACTTGATGGAACACAAGTAAATATATAATCATCAATTTAAAATGATTAAGAAGTATCAAAAAAAATTTTAAAAAAAGTTGAATACTGTGATTTTTGAGAACAAAAACATTAACTGCGTGAATCCTGAGGCGTAAATCATTGTAAATGCACTAAGAATACCAAAAAAGCTGTCTGTTATAGAGGAGGAAGGATGTTAGGTCCTCCATAAGTAATTCCTTGGTCTTTTGGAAAGTCTTTATGCATTTTTAGGATAGTCTTGATGTTATTCCAGAAACTGATATGACACTATGGTTTAGTGGTAAAGAAATGCAACGTGGTAAACTTCTATCGGATTTTGTTGGTAAAAATGAGAAAACAAAAATAATTGTCAAAATTCAAAAGGTTTGAAAAAAAAATTTCATTTATAAATTTATAAATATTTTACCTTAATTATTCTTTTTAGAAAGGTAATGCTGCACCAGCGCGGGAACGTGTTGTATCAGAAGAAGAACAAAAACAAATGATGGCTTATTATTATAGAAAACAACAAGAACTTAAAGTAAGAACAATAAAAAATTTTCTTATTCTTTTTTATATAATTTTTATTTGAATAAAATAGAAACTTGAAGAAAATGAAGACAATTCATATATGGATTCTGAATGGGCTGATCAAAATGCATTAAAACGTTCATTTCAAGGTCTTAATGATATTAAATGGAAACCAAGATAATTCAATGTGATCATATTTTTTTTTTTTGTTTTTTTTTGTATGATGTTAATAAGGTTTAAAACGAAATAATATCACCGGATATTGACTATAATAAATTTTATGTTTATACCTGATAAAAACCATGATGAGTTCGACAATTATAACGATAAACAGGTAAATAACAAGGTTTCTCATCATATTTTATATTCATTTGTGATGATTGATAATCAGATTTTATTTTGAGACGTTGATCAATATATAAAACGATAATAATCGTCATGAAAATAATACTAATACCAATGAAACAACCACATAAACAATATAAGATAAAACGTTCTGAATTTTCTATATTAAAAAAACAAAAAAAAGAAAATATTTTCGTTTATATGAAAATACTCTAAATACCGCGAATAAATTCACATGTTTGAAGCCAGTCAATAACAAACATTGATATATGTTTTATTCATAACCCTATAAAGATAAATCTGTTGAATGCTGAACACGTGTAGGATTTTCTATATACATGTGCGATTCATCTTTTTTTATATGAATGCTCGTCGGTCTTTATCATATATATATATATATGTAGATTATTACATAAGAAAGACTGATTAATTCAAAGAAAAAAACGAGATTCTCGCTCAACACACATGCATCTCGAATCGATCAAACAGAAGCACAAAATGTTCTGGCAGATGACCAAGATAAAAAAGAGGATTTCTGAATGGCCACTTTCATTAAAACATATCAACCTAGTTAGACAAGATGATGCAAATTCTCGTTAGATAGATTCTCATTCTCGTTTGCATCAATAAGATTATCTTGATAACGATTAATGTCCTTCTTTTTTCTATTCTCTTAACAAAACATGCATGTATATGCAATCCATAATGTCTCATCATTTCCTTGATTAATAGAGAAATCAATGTCTATCGATTGCAACAGTCTAGTGGTTAACTTCGACGTTCTTAGTTATTCTCCACCCCCTGCCGGTAGATATATCATACGGCATGATCATCATCGAATTTTCATCTTTCTCTTTTCACTGTTTTGATTAGACAATTGCTTTGATGTTGCTCTGCTTTCTTTCGAACTTTTGTTATTATATATGGTAGACACATATGGAGATGAGCAAAAAAAAAAGAAAAAGATGCAAGCAATCATAGTCTTCTTCTTCTTCCAATTTCATCAAATGGTTCCGTATCATTATAACAACGAAGAAAAACATGATTAATTATTTCATCAAGTTTTTTTCTTGAATGATTTGTACAAATTTCCATGGATTCTCGTGTTCGATTTTTAACACATTTGGAATGTTGATTTTTTAATAAAAAGGGTCTTGATGATGAGGAGAAATGATTAAATAATGAACATTGATTGGATAATGATGCTGCACGAATTTCTGTACATGCAAGATGATATGGATTATTAAAATTAATATTTACACGACAATAATCATAAGCATGTATAAGTTCATGTTCAAAAATAGTACAAAATTCTTCTAATGAATGAAGATTTTCAGGATATAAAACTATTTGACACATGGAACGATCAAAACCACCACGTATATTTTCATCATTAATTTCACATGTTAAATGACGATTAAAATTAAATGTACAACCATGAGATGACAATGCATCTAATAAACGACGAATTGATTCACGTGATGCAATACATTGACGTGCTTGATCATAACAATCACGAATTTTCGATTTTGTCTCATCTGACATTTTTCAGTAATCTAATGATTGAATAAAAATTTATTTTTTGAAAAGATATGAAAATGCATTTATAATAAAAACGTAAAGAACGATTATCCGCAATGTCACTAGAAAGTCAACATCGTTGAATCTGACAAACAGAAATAGTTTCATTGATTATCTCATGATACAATAATCGAATGTCAAGATATGTAGTTAACTTAATATCAAAGTAACAATGTCAATTAATAAAAATATGTCTTCTTCTAGTGATACACATCTATTGATGCAATTAATTCGAATGATTAGAAAAATAGTGTGCATCAGACAAATACCAGCAGTTTATAACTATTGAAGACAAAGTATAATCATCTCATCATTTTAGTACATGATCAACAAACATGTTTATCATATCTCTATTCTTCTATACTGTTCTAGGATTTCTAAATGAACATGTTCAACCTAATAAAATGAAATGTATCGACGCATTAGAGCCAAAAGAAGCAAAGTTTATAAAGAAAAAGTTTGTCAATATTATTTATGGTAAATATGTAACTTTGATGAATTTCCACCTAAAATCGATCGATTTTCGTGCTTTTCGAAGTGGTATTGTTAAAAAAAAGAAATAAAAATACGTTATCGTTAAATTCTCATCCACCACACTACATGCCTTCTTATAACGTGTTTCAAAATCATATATTTAAAGGTCTGAGAGTATAACTTTTTGACTAGTTTCCGTGCCTCTATGAGTACTACTTGTTAATGAGAATGGTTCTCTAAGAGTTTTTTGCTTAAAACTTATATAGGAGTCTAATAAGTAGCGTATTTTTGCTCATTCGTCGAATTTCGAAGTCGGATTCAGTTTTACTTGAGTGACATGACATTTACAAGAGTCTTACAAATATAAACTGTACCGATAATAGTGATTGGTTTATCATGAAATTTTTGAACCATCGATTCAAGAATGAGATATGGGACATTTTCAATAAAAAAAATTGTCGCTGTTAACTATGAAGGCAAAGAATCTATTCTTGATTGATGAAGAAAAGCAACCTATGAAATTTAGAATGTAAGTTTCTGATCAAGGTTTTGAAAATTTTAGTATTTCCATATAATCAATTTTTATAGCAAGAACATAGTTCATGTTCAACAATAAAAACATTTGTTAAAAAATATAATCTTGAATTTCCTATGTTTGATTAACATGGAACTTTTCAGGAACATATTTAAATGATCATCACGGTATTTATTAAAAGAAAAAAAAAGGATGAAAATAAAAATGAATAACCTAAAACAACAAACAATACTTTTTTTATTGTAATAATTTTTCTTTTGAATTTCAATTAATAAAATATTCCGCATTCGTCACTTTTATTTTATAATATGAAACTGAAAGATTTCTACTTTTATTTCGAGACGAAAATATACTTAATTACTTTTCTTTCTATCCCTCGAGCTATTCATATTGTCAATCAATGAAATATTGGTCTAAAATAATTAATTGCACACTAATTTGTAATAGAAAGAAGTATTAAATAAAAATAAAGAATATGATCCATTATGACGATTTAAGACCACGCCCTTCCCTCAGCAAAAGTCAATTTAGTTCAAATGTATCGATTTTTGTGACTTATCGCTCGTTAGATAGAGCAAAGTGTTTACTCTTGAATGCACTATACTTTCTTGATTTTATGATGAAATTTAAGCATGTTACATTGGGTTTTATGAACCATCATGCAGAAAAATAACGTTCTTTTCTGAAATATATGTATTTCGGTTTTTATGTTTCCGTGGATCCCAGATTTTTCCGTCATTTTAAACTCTAGACAGTTCGGCTTGGTGTCATAATGAAGGCACATGTTAGCTCTACAACTCAACAGAGCTCGATTTTCCGATTTCCGCATTAACGTTTATAGAAAACTAATCATTCTGAACCTAATCCGCTCTTAGGTTTTCCGCATTTCATCCGAGCAGTTTTCTAGGAACAAAAGCTAGTACCAAATCAAAAATCTAATGTAGGATGTGGGTGTGAGCTGGGATGTGAATCGTCCGTTCCTTTGCATTCACACGCTTCCATATCAGCATTAGATTTCTTTTGCTATTTTGTGTCCTATCTTAAAAGTTGTTCCTATGCCTCAATTATGAGTAATTTAACTAAAAATTGCTTGATAATATTTTATTTATTAAATAATCATTCATATAAAAGTCAAATAAACTCTTACAAAATTATTTTAAATATGTTGTAAAACATTGTGTTTCATAATGACTTGTCTTTGGTCCAATCTAAATAAAAAAAAAGTTCTGTTTATTTTCTAAGAAAAAGTGAATATACGAACCAATAATCCATCAGATTGCTAATTATTATATTGATCATGATAATAACAACCTGATGTATAAATTCTAATTTCATAATTTGATGTAAAAGAAGAAAATTCATTAGAAAATGAATATATTTTTTATTGAATAATTTGTACAATAAATAATTCATGATTTGATGTTTGTTCATTGTCAATATAATATGTATAAAGACTTTCATTTGATAGATCTTAAATTAAAAAAAACAAGATAAATTTTTTTTATGATTAATATAACGAAAAAAGTAACAAACTTGAAGGGCAAAATAAAGTCGAACCATCAATTTGATTATTGTATTGATTAAATTGGTAAATAATTAAATAAGCAAGAGCTCTATTTAATGGATGAATTTCAAAATGAACTGATATTGTTTGATTTTGATTTGGTTGATTTTCTGTTATATTATTCAAATTAAAATAGAATCGCTTATTATAAAAAGTAATATTTTGAAAAATCATTGATGGAATAATTATATTTCGATCACAGGGAATAATTTATTCAATTCGGTGATTATTATTATTATTATTATAATCTGTTTGAGTAGGAATTTCATTTCTATCTTGATCAAGTATTGAAAATGATATTATTGTTGAGAAATTTGTGTTTGATTTAGATTCAGAATTACCAAATGGAACAAGTGGTTCCATTATTGACTAAAAAAAACAATATAAAGAAAATAAAATTTCAAAAGAAAAAAACACAAAACAAACTGGAAATGAAATTGTTTCATTATTTGTATAATTAAATGAAAAATTTGATGGTATATGAATTTGAGCATTTCCAATTTGTTTAAAAAGTTTTATTTAAAATAAAATTAATTTTACATTTTTTTAATGATAAAAATAAATGCGAAGTATTTACAGTAAAATTTTGATCAATAATTAAACGAATATTTAATGCTGATGTTAATAATGAAATTGTTTCCATTGTTTGAGATTTAATTTTATTTGCTATCTCTTTTTGATAACAAAAATTTTGATCTTCTGATTCATATTCATCGAAAAATATATCTATATAAGATAAATGTGAATTAAGGATAATTGTTCGTTGTTGTAATGGATCATTGATTGCCTAAATTATAATTTTAAAAATATTTATTTATTAAAATTAATCTTACAGTTAAAACATATGCACTACATTGAGCGATTTGTGTTGCACTAATTTGAATATCTTCATAGGTTGTTCTAATTGCTGTTGAATTCAAGGTACGAGATAAATTATGACATTTATCAGATGCAATTATCTATTTTAATAAAAATAAAACTTTTTAATGGTAAATAAGAAAATTTTTCTTTACTGATGATGTTCGTGTTAATTGATTTGTAATTTGAGTTAACTGAGTTAAAGCAGTTGATTGTAATTTAATTACTATTTGAACCACTAATAATCATATAACTGGTATATTTGATAAGATTTTCTCGCGCATTTGCAAATATATTTTAATTTTTAGTATATTCATCAATAATTGTTTGATTTAATGATACATTTAACTAAATTAAACGATAGATTTCTAAATTCAATCCAATAGAATAACTTACTTTCTGTGAATTTTTACTACCGAATGAAGGAATATCATCTAGAAATTAAAATAAAATATTATTTAAATAAAAGAAATAATTTTGATATTTACTTAGAAGAGTATTAGTGTGTGGGTGTGGGTGTGGGTAGATGTAGGTGTGGGTGGGTGTGTGTGTAAATTGCTGATACCACACCCACACCCCCACCCACAACCACACACCCATACACCCACACCCACCACACCCTCCACCCACACCCAATTCCACACCCACACCCCATTTACAAAAAAGTTTGAAATGATAAATGTTTATAGTAGACTCTAAAGCAAAAATCAAGTCACATCTCTTCTTTGTTCTTTTATAACAGACATACTGTGATCTCTCTGTCTTATTTCTTCCATTCGAAAGAAATATCGAAAACTAAATATTTTCTCAAAACCAAATAAAATAGTTTTATATCAAACTATTTACTGATCAAAATAATCTTCATTAACATCGACTGCTACATCACACATAACTTAGCCATAATCGTCATATACTTATTTTTTTTTGGTCTCACTGAATACTTAAATTATGTGCTATCCCGCTTGAAAAGTTAATATTAAGTATTTCTTTAGCCGTGGGCGATGGTATTGACATGATATCGACTGTGCATGAATATATATATCGAAATTGTTTGCTTTGAGACTTTTTAGTTATGTATATATGAATATAATATATTACATTCGTAAAAATAAAAGTAATTTGATTTTTTTTCTACTACCATGTGCTTATCGTTTTCTTTCAAGTATCAATATGTTTCGATGTTATTTCGTATGCAATATTCACTATGCACAAATCACTGAAGCAAATCATTTCATGCACAACGTGTGCATTTTGTCTAACCTTGTTCGCGATAGAGTGTGTAACAAAAAGTTAAAAAAAGAAAAAAACCGAATACATTAAGGAAGAGTAAGAAACGTAGAAAATTGCCTTACTGCAAAGGTAAAAAAGAATTATTTGCAAAAACAAGCAAACGGTGTTACATATCCACAATCAAGTCAAATCAACAACAAGTCAATATCAAATTTTTTCAATATATTGGTTTTTATTGATTTGATTGTGGTGAGTAACGTATCTGAATAATGCTAAAATTAGAAACAAGCTTTTTAAATAAAACACTCATAGTGTCAATCTATTTAGCAGAATAAGATACGATCTAGATAGGTATGAAGTTAGTCTCGATGATCAATTTATAAGTTCTTCTAAGTCTCCTTGATTCATTTTTCTATCTTCTCTTACTTTTATTTATAATTTTCAGTAAACTCAATTCATGGATGATTTCTGAATATTACATACTTAGTTTACTTGCTTTTTTCGGTTATACTAAACATCATGTTGAGTTAGTTAAGGGACGAGCATTGAGCTAACAGTAGTTAAGTTTTCATGTCGGGGACGATGAAGATGAAAAGTTTCGCGTATTCTAGCACTGTCTCAAAGCTAATTTAAAATGCTTCAAATCATCCAATGATAGAGAAAAATAGGAGTCTGAAAACCTTTGAACTATAATATAACATATCAACGTGAAAACGTAATATTCTGTGAGGCACGGTGAAACCTAAAAGAGATGTCATGTAGTTTTAATCTGGCATTTGTCTGTGAGGAAAGCTACGATAAGTTTGAGGTCGACTTAAATTTTTGCATGCGACACTTTTGCATACCATTAATTTTTTAATGATTTTCTTGTTAAACTAATAATTCTTTCAAGCTTTGTAAATATTTAATAACTTTTCTGATTTCGATCACTTTTTCTTATTCATATTTTTCGATCCTATAATATGGAGTTCATGAGGCAGCAAAGTTTTTATATTTTATTATGAAAAGAATTTATCTGTGAGGTCTGTTAAGATATGTCTCATTTTATTAAATATACTAACTCTACTATGATATAACCAGATCAATAAGAATCTATAGGACTCGAACAGATCTTGCTTTCGTTGTGAATGTGTTTCGCTCTACCCCCCCACCAAAAAAAATAGACGGCCACCCTATATTAGAAGGTCATTCCCTGTATAAGGCCATGTCCGAGCAAAAATTCAAACGCCCTATTAGAAGACCATGTACTAATTAACTAATATATTCCAAAATTAATGAAATTTTCATAAATATTAATTAATAATTAAGGAAATATAACCGATTTTCTAATGTTTATGCGAAATCCTTCCTTTCCTATCATAAGTAGTACAGTTTTTACAAAAAATGGTAGTTTTCTCAGCAAAAAACAATAATTAAAGACATTAATTAATTATTAATTTTTTAAATTATTTTAATTAAAAACTGGCCCAAAATTGATCCCCAATAGAAGGCCACCCAAAAAGTAGCGATGTGCCAAGACACTGTATAAGGGCATGCCCTTCTATTCTGGGGAGGGGGGGGGGGGTTAATTGACATTCTGTGTATATACTTCTGATCTATTTCTTATTGTCAAAAACAAAAAACATTTGTAAGCATTAGTTCGATAGCACCTCTCAAATAACAATTCTACGTCCGAAAATATAGCGCAAGAAATTTGACATTAGAGTGCATTACGAAGGACAGACTCCACAGACGTCTGACGGTGCTCATCTATTTGGAAACGTGAAGACGAAAAATTTCAGTCATACAGAATTTGGAACAGTGAACAGAAAAACTATGATCCACACTGAGATACTTTTTAATGTGGGCAAAAAAGCTTCAGATTATAAATGAATGCCTTGAAACCTTAGATGTTTTCTATTGATCTCCCCGAAAATTCATTCAACTCATTAGATGATTCATTCGAAATACGGAAAATACAGAAATGTAGGATATAGAGAAAGTGTAAAAGATAATGCCATAGTCTGTGAACCTACTTACGTGGCAACCTGATCTAGTACCGAGTGATCTTGATATCGTAAGAGTCTGGCATGCTGCACTAATTATATATGTATTCGTTGAATGAAAGAGTATTTAATCTAGCAAGAAATTTCGTTGTCTTTAAATGAATAGATATCTTTTGACAATGCAAACGATGGTTATAATGTAAAGTCAGTGAATGTTATAAAATATTGTAAAGTTTCGTACATGTTCCACTAAGAAGCACAGAAAACTTTTCAATAGACAAAAGCAAACGTTGTAATAAAAGTAGAAAGTGAGATAAAGTCATTTGAAATGTACTGAAAAAGGAAAAATACTAATAAATGTCTAAAATTCATTTGTTTACTTCGTTATATAACTCCTCCTGTGAATTTATTGAACTGTTTGAATAGTTTAATTGATTACTTAATGATTCTTTTTATCGTGTTCTAACCTGTTCTGTATTTCTAGTTATATTGATTAGGTACATATAAATAAATGTTTTATAGGATATAATGAAAAGATGAAAAGAAACAATTGACAGATAAAAGAAAAATCCAGTTGTTAAAATTTCGATAGGAAAAACAAAAAAAAACATGCTTTAACATGTTCACAGTTGATCTTCTCATCACAATTGATTCTTTAGATCTACTATGTAGGTTCATGATGACGATATCAGAGATTGAAAAGTGTTTAGAACTATGTTGAATAATTTTAGAAAGGTTGTATTTGATGAAACCCATAAAGGCGCTCATCTCAGAGTCTTAGTTAGTTAATATTGTAAGAGTGCAATTTTCTTTTATTCAGCATCCGTAGATAGAATATGTGACTTTTCTGATTCTCATACTAAACGGCCAGTAATCATCTATAGTGTTGCCATCTCTTTCGTTTTTAGAAGAAAAGGCTGTTTTTTTACGTCTTTTTTGCACGCTTAAATCTCATTGTCTTTAAACTTTTTAACATTATTCTTAGATTCTGCTACTCATGTACCCAAGAACATCAGAAAACTTACGATCTAGGTTTATAAATATTGCTTTCTCCTTCTTATTCTTTGTCTTTGAGGACAACTTGTGTTCTCTACTGATTAGAAAAAGAACCAAAACCATTTTATTTCTCAATTTCACTTCTTTATCTGACTTGTTTTTTTTCCTGCACTAGGGTTATAGTGAACAAAGCATTAGGTTGCAATAATGTAAGGACACCGCGGGATTTCATCGTAAATCTGCCGCCTCTCAGTTTTCATTGTCAATATTATAGAAAGATAGAGCTCGAAATT